TCCGGCCTCCTGTCCCAGCACTGTGTTCTTGTGAGACGAGGTGTCTGCACCCTGCGGGCGTGTGGGCCACTGTGCGTCCAAATATAGACACCAAGTCTGCCCTGCCGGGGACCGATTTGAGCGGCTGGGGGGAAGGGGTGCAGACCTGTGCCCCCTCAAGAGACCCCGCCCGCTCCGCTGTCGGCGGTGGCGGCAGGGGGTAGGGAGGGTACCTGGTCCTGAGCGGGCAGAGGGGCGCTCGCGCTGCGACAGCTCTGCGGAGGGGGCTGGGGGCGCGCCGGGGCTGAAGTAGGCGTCAGGGCGCCGGAACTGCCTCTCCGGGGGTCCGCGGCGTTCTGGGGCCCGGGTGTTCGACTGCGCTGCCTGCGGCTCTCCGAGGCCCTGCGCCCCTGCGGTCCCAGCTGCTGCTGCCATCAACCTGCGAAGGCGGCGCCCAGACAAGGGCGGGACCAGCGGTGCCCCGCCCCCTCCCGCGGCGGGAAAGTCGAGCGCTGCGGCCTCCCCGCAGTGAGTCGGCCGACCTCGGAAAACTATCAGAAGTAATGGCGCGTGCGGGCGCTCCTTCCCGCGATCAGCCCCGCCCAGGTGTGGTGGGGAGGCCCTTGTTCCCGCAGCCAGAGCTGGGCGCTGAGGGAAGAGCGGACGAGGAGGGGGCGCGCTCCTCTCAGAGCTGGCAGCCAGGCAAGATCAGGTGCCTTCGCGCTGCATTCCTGCTGCAGTCGCACTCCTAATTTAGCCCGGTCCCGGGCCGCGGCTGTGGGGCTGCACCTCCAGACTCTTGGGGAGAGGTCCCGGAAGATGGGCCTTGACCCACTGGGAACAACAGTTCAAGGGAAGCGGCTGGCACAGGTCTTTGGCCTATCAAATTTTAGACGCCCAGCTTGACTCCTAAAGTCTTCTGGGCCTGGTTTGAATGGGTGCCAGCCTCTATTCCAGGAAAAACCCCTCCTCATCCCAATCCCTCAGGACCCAGGGATCTGAGTATTGACCAAGGTTAAGGAGATGAAAAATCTGGTCAAAATACAGCCAGTGAAGAACAATTTTTCCCTGTGTCTGCAGTCTACCCGGTGCCCGCCCTCTGCCTGCATCCGTTTCTTTGGGTCATAAGGCCGGGGTGGGGGTGGGGGCGGGGGCGGTTGGCAGCAGCATGGAGCCAGTTATGACTTCCCACTCTCCAGGGCACAAGAGGGAATCAACGGAACACGGCTTTCCAGAGAGCATTCAGTAAAGGGGAGGGAAGATGGTGGGAACCTTGAAGGCTCCTTTGTTTCTTGGGGAGAGTCCAAGTGCTACCGGTGGAAGGTGGACATGGGTCTCTTGCAGTATCTGAAGGAAAAGAATTTCCTGAGAACCACGTGGGAGGATGTCACTGTGTGTAGGGTTTATTGATGATGTACTAGTAAGTGGGTTCCCCTCCTGACTTCCCGATGGCCTGTCTTGCCATGAAAAAGTCCAATCTCGTCTTCCGTAGGGCAAGGATGAAGGCCATGGCCCAGATTTTACGCTCCATATTGAAGTACAGTTCAGTCCAGCATCAAGCTAGCTTAGCACGTGTTTCCAGCTGCAGTCCGAATGCTGGACTCCCTCCTGGAGGCCAGAGGCCATGGAGAGAACAGGTGTGTGCGCCATGTGAGTGCAGGTCACGAACAAGAGAGAGAGAGCGCTTTTTTTATTCCACAGGGGTTATGACTAGGAGATTGGGTTTGGGGATGGACCAGGTGCTTTCTCAAAAGAACCAATCAACTTTCCAAACTTTCATGGGCTTGGATAGGTTTACACCTCCTGGATAGACTGACAGTCCTCTATGGTCCAGCACCTTCTCTAGTACCCCTCAACAATCTGATACTGGAAGGTGGGGGAGGAAGGAGTGTTAATTCCCTTGGTGGAGCATAATGCTGTGGTCCCCTGGGGTGTGAAGCTGTAGTTTCCTGGTGAATCAAACAGGCTTCTGCTTCCCATTTTATTAAGCTCAGAGTCTAGTTCTCTTTGCTCTCTTTCCTTTGTCAATATCTAGTTAAACACCAACAGTAACACAAGTACTCAGTGGCTTGTAGAGGAATAGAATCAGAACTGTTATAGGTGCTCCAGAAATAATTCATGTAATGGAGGGAAGTCATGAGGGTAGATGAGAAGTCTCCCATCTATCCAAAGATTCCAGGTTCTGGTTGGTGTGGCTCACTGGATTGAGCACCAGCCTGTGAACCAAAAGGTCACTGGTTTGATTCCCACTCAGGGCACATGCCTGAGTTACAGGCCACGTCCCCAGTTGGAGGCGCACAGGAGGCAACTGATTGATATATCTCGCACATTGATGTCTCTCTCCTTTCTCCTTCCCTTCCCCTCTCTCTTAAAAAAAAAAAAAGATTCCAGGAACAAAATTAGGAGGCAAAGACCTAAGTGACTCAGTTGCTCCTTAATAACAACAGCTCACACTTACATGCAAGACACTGTCCTAAGGGCTTTCCACATACTAATTCCATTCTAACAATCTTCTAAGATGAGCATTATTAATATCCCTATTTTACAGATGAGAAAACTGAGGCACAAAGAGGTTAAGTAGCTTACCCATTGCTCAACTGTTAGTGATGCTGAGATTCTTACTTAAGTAGTCTGGTATCTAGGTCCATGTTTTTCAGCACCACGCATTTCGGCTTCTCCTGCAAGGTGTGCCACTTTATCTCACAAGTGCTGATACACAAGTCCAGGAACTGGCCTGCAACCCAGGCATGTGCCCTGACTGGGAATCGAACCTCGATCCTTTGGTTCACAGGCCCGCGCTCAACCCACTGAGCTACAGCAGCCAGGACAGATCTACCTTCTTAACAAATTTCAAGTACATGGTAACTTCTTGTTAATGACATGCACTATGCTGTGCAAAAGATCTCTGGAACTTACTCATCTGTGTAAGTGTGACTTTATTCCAGTGAACACTCCCCTGTCATTCTCCCCCCACCCCCTGGTTACAATTCTTCTAATCAATGTTTGATTTTGTGATAGACTATTATTTAAAAGAGAAAAAAAGAGCAGTAACCTTAGGCAACTATCATCATAATGAGACCAGCTATCTCTGTCCCGGGTACCAGCAAGATTAAAAAAAAATGATTGTTAGGAAAAAATGTGTGGGGTGACCGAAAAGTCCTATTAAAATTGAGAAGCCATTAACTATGTTAGAAGAGGAAGTCAAAGATGGTTCAAGCTTTGAGTTTGAGTTTTGGAGGTACAAAGGAAATTCAGCAAGAGGAATGAGTGCCAGCAGCAATATGATATTTTGGGGAGAGGTTAAAAAATAATAGCTAGAAACCATTTTAATAATTAAAAGCACAAAAAAACCGATGTTTTAAATCCTAAAACTGCACATGAACAGGGGTTATACATGTGGGCCCAAAGCAGGAGTATATGGAGCTCATTAAAACATAATTCACATGAAACAGACTTCTGATCTACCGAAACCAAATGACTTTACACATGTGAACAGTTGGCTCTTTTAGATTTCCTCTCCCACTCCTCTTAGCTTCTCTTCTCAACCCCCTAAAACCTGACCTCCACTCTCAGCACTTAACTGAAACTGCATGGCAACGGTTATAAATGATTTTCTCATTGTAAATCCAAAGAGTCCTTAAATTTTTTATTTCTTTTTCTCCTCTTTAAGAGAGCTAGGCACTCCATTCCAGAGGAAAGGTCTGGGACTAGGAAGCAGGAATTCTTCAATCTACCTTCAGCTACACCATATGGGAAAGAGGGCTGGTGTGCTCTCCAGGTACAGGAATCACGATTCACAGGTATTGCTTGGACCTGGTATGGCTCAGCCCTGCCCTCTAGCCTCCTTTTGGCTGCCAAGCACTGGTGGAGCCGTGGGTGGGCGGAGCCAAGGCAGAAAGAGCCAATCAGGTGAAGAGGCCGTTTGGGCTGGTGCTTTCTCTTCTAGTTGCCCATTGAAACTGTTAGCTGGGCTCTACATTGCAATCTGTAGAAGACATGCATGGATTTCATCTTTCATAAAAGCCATTTTCTGGAAGAGGCGTTCTAGCATCTTAAGACATGATTTGATCCATATGCTTTGGCTAGAAAGCTGAGACTGAAATCTAGATTTTTTGGGACCCTAGGTACTCCTATAATATCTTGTGAGATAATCTTGTCTTCATCGTCATGCAACCAGAGAACAGTGGTACTCCCCTCTCACTTGATATGGAGCAGAATCAGAACGAAGCAGGCTGAAAATTTTTGTTCAAAGCAGTGTTTTCTCTGGAAATTCCACTGTATCTTATTAGCAATTTAGAACGGGAAACAGCTTTCCCTGTGTTAGCAGCGCTGCCTCATATGTGATGAGTATACTAAATATCTCATGATGGACCTGTGGAGGGATGGGAGAAGTGGGAACCTCTCCCTCTGCCCAGCCTGTTTTAGAGAACTGTCCTTTTGGCCCATCTCCCTTCCTCTACTGTTGACATCAAATGCTTCTCTTCTAATGGGAGAGGGCTGGTTTTTACCTTGGAGAGTCATACCCCACTTCTAGAAACCTCTGAGTGAGCTGAGGTGTTGTGCTAAAAGCTTGTGAGTTCTCTCATCAATGTCCAGAGGTCATCCACCCGAGAATTCCAGTCTCTGCTAGGGCAGGTCACGGCAGCTGTCCCAGAGCAGTCACTCTGCACCACAGATGGCGAAGGAATTTTGGTCCTTTTGCTTATTCATTCTCCTACCTTCAGGTGGTGGCTTTGGCAAGCCCCTCTTTGACCAGGCAAGTTCCCAGCTTAGTCACTTGATTGGAACCACAATATCTGAAATAACCTTTAGTGATACTATTTCCCATGCAGTCTTTATTTTGTGGGAGGTAGAAAGTTGTTTTTTTTTTTTTCTCGGAGCTCAGCTGTCTCTTAATTAAGGGTGTGCTCGATGAAGATCGAGCACTGAGAAGTGCTTCCCATGTATCACCAGTGATCCAATCCCTATGCCTCCTCCGGCATCTCCCCTTTGTTGCACTTGATTAAGTACACACATTCATCTTCAAAATAAAAATTTATTCAGTCTGTAACAAGAACATTGAATCTGCACATTTGCGCACAAGTTCACATTTAAAAACAGCGGAGCACATCAGTAATAAAAAAATCTATGATACAAGTGGACATCCCAACCACCATGAAGATTACGGAAGGAGATGAGACCACTCTATATTCTGCTTCAAATGCCTCTAAAAGGTCCCAGAGATTCCAGGGAGCACCTGCTTTATTTAATAAAATATGAGCATAAAAGTTTGGGGTGGCCTGGGGCAAAGGTAACAGTCTTTTGGACTTGTTTCCCACATTTAGAACGAGTCCTATAAAATAATGTAGAAAGAAATAAAAAGAAAGAAAAGGCACCTTAAGCTATACCAAGCAAACCAAAATCCAATAAAACATAAAAATTAAACAACTCCCTGTGGGCTTACTGACTGGGAAACATTTCAGGGCCAGTTACCCAGTTCTCAGACTGGGTCATCAGACTGAGTTAAGCCCCGGGCATTAGGTCTGCGTGTGTACACAGGATGCTGTCATCAGTGTTGCAGTGAGGACACAGATGGCAGCCCCTGTCCTATACCCCTTGGGGCATCTTCTAGCCCATGAAGGCTGATTCCAGTTTAGAAATCCTGTCCTAGATCTCCGGGGCACCGAGAAAATGAGGCTAGTTCTCTTTTCATAGCAGGAGTCAGGCTGGGCCACCCTCCACTTCCAGGCTGGAAAAGTATAGAAGCACCTTACTTACAACAGCTCTCCATGGCATCAAGGGACCCCAAGGCCTGGGAGAAGGGTTAGGAGCGCGCAGCTTCCTGCTTTGGTGGCAGGCTTTTTCCTAATACAGGGATCAGATGAGTTGAGACACCAAATACGTTTGTCTAATACATGCCTTGTTCTTTTACTTTGAAAGGGAAAACCAAGTCCAAGATCCTTTTAAGTTGGATTGGTGTTGAAAGAAATAAAATTTCATCTCATCTACCATCAAAAAGCAAAACAAAATTAAACAAAAATGACAGTAGCCATTCACCAGTACAACCATCACTATAAGACACACCATCACTGAGGAAATGACGACTATTTCCATAGAGTGTTGGATGGGAGCACAGGGCACAGATGGAAGTCAGCTCCAGGTGTTCCCCACTTACCCACGGGGGCTGACCATGATCGTATCGCTCTGTGCGAAGACTCACAGGACAGCCAGGTCTGGGTCCCTGGAGGAGGAGACTGAGCTGCCAACATGATGCATACTTTAATACTCACACAATGTAAACAAAGTATCCACAAATAGTTGTTCAAAAAAGCCAAAGAATGGCTTTATTTAAAAATGCCCTTAAAAGTGACCCTTTTTGCATAACACTTTCTTAAAAAAAATTTCCCATAAAAACATCTTTACCAAACATGCCTAGATAACTTCAGAACTGAAATCCTCAGATGGAACAGGTGAAGATTTCTGAGAGCTGCCACATCTCAGAGGCTACAGGTCTATCCAACAGCATCTGACTGGGGCCCTTTAGCAGGAGGGGACCTCAGAACCTAGGCTGGGATCCTCAGGCTGGCTGTCCTTGGAGCTCTTGGTAATTTCCAAAACGAGAAAGAGGAAATATAGTAGGGATAAAGGTACAGAACCAGGATAATGCTAGATAAAGAGCCGGAAGAGGCTGAGATGCTAGGAATGATCCCAAACATTCAGAATCTGAAAGGCAACCAAAATGAGAAGAGATGAATATCACTATACTATAGCACTACATGTATACTATAATATATACTATTCCTAAGTGTTTCTAAAATTAAGAAAGGGTAAGGGTTTCTTTCCTTCCTACTGGCCAGGTAACCATCCAGATTACAGCTCAAAATCTCTGTGCTGCTGGGCTTTTACCCCATGCACCAAAATGTTACTTTTTACACACATACACACTCACACACATGGTCCTCCATAGTAAACGGGAGTCAGACTATGGCGGTTTTCAAAAACGGTAAAGAGAGGCACCGAGCAAGAGGTCAAAGCCTTTCCTACTCATCTCTGTCAACCTACCAGGCCTGTTGTTCCAGGGCTGAATTTTCCACGAACAGGAAAGGGAAACAGGTCCCCCGAGATTATCAAAGTTTGAAGAGAAGAAAGTCTGAAGTCCTTGATAGCTCATCATATTCTTTTCCTGGACATAGCTCAGCTATGTAAACAACACAAGAACACACAGCTGTGGGAGTTCGAGAGGGCTGGCAAAAACCCCATGGCACTGGCTGAATTACAGACCTTGCGTAGAGGACATTTATTTAGGCAGAAAAATTATGTAATAAAAATTATTTTTGAAAATGGAAGGCAGAGCAAGAATTGCTTACTCTAGTGATTTTCAACCAGTGTGCTGCAAGACTTTTGAACTTGCAATACCTGTTTAGTCAGGGGCACTGACCTCTTTTCCCTTAGACTGTTAAATTAAACAATGACAACAGCCAACACAGCAAATAGCCACCTGATGTGAATGCCCTGTCTTGAACCATAAATATATAGGTCATATAACAGAGTTGTACCTTATTGGTCATGTCACATAATAAGGTTGTATCTGATTGGTTAATTCTTGGTACCAGAAATCCTTATATGTAGGCATAGGCACCTGATTTTTAAACAAGTCATTTTGGGGCAAAAAGGGCAGTTAATTACTTTTTTTAAACCAATCACAATTATGCCTATTTTTCTCAGTTTGGCAAAAAATGTGTTTGTTGTGCTGCAGAATTTTAGTAATTGGTTTGCGTGCCATGAGATAAAAAAGTGTGGCAAATCGCTGCTCTACTCTTTAAAAAACTTTTTGTTTTTCTCCACAGCATTACAGGGTTCGCTTCCCATCTTTGTTGTTATTTAATGCAGTGAGAATGGGCATCAAACACCATAGGAGTGGGGGGAGAGAGAACAACGCAACCTTGTCCATCCTGCTTGTAGTTCTTAACGTGAAGGATGTCACCATCTCGAGGGATCAACATGAGTGAATACCACTCTCTTAACCTCCCAGCAAATCCTCTTCTTCCCAGCCCTGCCAAAATCTCCTGTCTTTTCCTGATCATAGTGGTGGTGGAATTGCCTCAGTAACACAGGACAGTTTAGAAGGATGAGCTCTGGAAAATCACAGCCCTGTCTTGCAAGCCACCTCACACTGCTATATACCACCCAACAAAACACTTTACAACACAGTCAATATCCAGGAATCACAAAGCCGTGTGCAAGACACATTTGAAAATTTAAGAAATCTATTTAGGGACAGTACAGGTACGTACAATCACTATACCATAAACACATATAGCAGGTTTCTGTCCGATTTGCCTTTTGGCAGTGAGGTCAGATGCAACCATGGCTCCCACAGGGCACCTGGGTTCACAGCTCCTGGAGTACCCATGAGTGGCCTCCGCCTGCCTTTTCTCTCACCTTCGGGTCACCCTACTACCTGCTCCACCAAACGCTGGACTCTGACATCACCCTGACAGTCTGTGTGGTGATGAACCAAAAACCTGAATCTCAAGTCTATACTAGGCCAATCTCTCAGCAATGTGGACACCAAACAAAGCCAACGGGAAGCAAATTTGCAAGCCTCTTCAGTTTTGATGAGGGTGCTTCATTCCAGGCTAAATATGTTTTCTGTAAGAAGCTGAAATAGGCTTGTTTATGGCAGGTGCTCCTCTGTTAAATCTCCACAGTAGCAGCAAAGCAACAGCATCCTAAATGGAGTCATTAAGGGCCTGCAGCCTTCCAGCCTAATCCATTAGGAGCTTCCACCCTGGGAAGCAGTTAACACTCCTATACACTCCCTGGCTGAGGTTCAGCTACTGGCAAACTCTGGGATTTCAGTCTTAAAGAGGACTCAGCCTTCAGTCAAACTGTGAACTAATGGGAACCTAGGCTTAGGGGTTTCTCTCAGGAGGACATCACTAACACATAATTTGGCAGGAACTGGCAATTAGAAATCTCCATTTAAACAATTAAAACAACTGTCAATATACTCTGCAGATTCCTACCAACACCCACCAGTTTTACTTCTGTGGTGTCTGTGTTTTCCAGTTGCAGTTTTATTCCTTCTTAAAAAGAATAAATCAAATAGACCCTATGACGTTAACAACAAAACACTGTAAGAAAGTGACATTATGTACATAAATACTGTGTAAAAACTAGAGAAATGACAGATCTTCCAGGAAGAGAAAGGGAAAAAAACTTATGTCAAGTGTTAACAGTGATAATATTAAAAAGAAAACTTTGCATCAATGGAGGTTATACAAATGTAATGTAACAATTCAAATATCACCAATGAAATTTTTAAAAAGGCAGTACTGGGAGAAACAGCAGGAGGGAACAAAATAATTGGAGAAAAATATGGCCATTAAACTCAGAGGCCCACAGAATTATTCAAGTAATGGAAGGGTTAAAACCCTACATATGTATTCATTTTACAAGAACACAGTGACTTCCAATTGCTGTTTTTCAAACTCGTCCCTATTGTGCCTCAGTTGGGAGGATGCTGCAGAGCACATTTCCGGGCAGGGAGGGCTGGGACCACCACCTGTGTGGAGCCTGTCACCCCAAAGGCAGTGAGCAGCAGCCTCTTCACTCCCTTATTTCATCACCTCCTTCTTATGCCTTCCTCTACAGAGGACAGCTCTGATTTCATTTGGGGTTGACTCAATTTAATAGAAAAAAAATTTGCTTGACAAGTTTACAAAGCCAGCTATCATCACGCCTTCTGTAATGATCCACTCTGGAATATCAGCAGAAATAGGTTCTGGAACAGCCCCTTTGAAAACCAAGCAGAATCTGCCCCCTCCAGGAACTCCAATGGGCTGGGGCTGGAAGCCAAGGCTGAGAGGCCACGCTCATGTCTGGCTGCCCTTGAGCCCATCTGATGCATCAGGTCTGGAGAGCAAACCATCGTCATACAGGCCCGAGGGGTGAGGGGAGCTTTTCACTTTCCGGCTTCACCCCACTGCTCATCTGCTTTCTTCCTCAATCAAGCAAGCATGCCTTTTCTCCGAGGGCAAAATGAGGAGCAGGTGGCAGTTGATTGAAAAACAGCAATTTGCCTTTGATAAAGGTGTTCTTCAAAAATGAGTATATTTTGAGGTTTGAATTTTCTAAAAATAAAAAATGATAAAATGGTCTTGCTGTCCAAATCAATCTCTCTCTCATACATACACAGAGGAAAAAAAACCCCAAACCCTGCATGCGCCAGGAACAGTAAAATGACCAAAATATTATAAAATTAACCAATAAAGTGCATGTTCCTTACATATTACACCTGTCCCTTTTACAAACATTTCTTTTAGAAAGTCACATGTGTAGGCTCAGAATCACATGGTATTATAGAAGGGGTTGGTTGTCCTTTTTTTGTCATTTGCTTTTTTCAGTCTCTTAAGGGGGTGAGTTCTGCCGTGCTGCTGACGGGCAGCCAAAGCCAGCCCTGCAGCGGGGCCTGCACACTGCAGCCCCTGGGTCTGCAGCAAAGCAAGGCCTCCTTCAGCACTAGTCAATGCAGGTCGTGCCTTGGGGAACAAACACTGCTGACTGCAACCAAATTCTTTGGCATACTGTACAAGGGGCCTCTCCACTGGCTTGCTCTGTGCGATACACTCTGTGGTTTTAAGTTGCTCTATAAAATACATGGTGGGCTCTGGGTTCTGGGGGCCATCTGGGTTATCTGGAGGCTCCTGGGCCTCCATGGCATGCATGCCTGAGTCTGTTCTGATGAAGGGCTGAAGCAGTTTGAGATGAGGGGACTCAGAGGAGACAGCCTCCCTCTCCAGTAAACAGTCTTTACACAGATCCAAGTAACCTAACTTGGCGAGGGAAGCTGAACGCCTCATTTGGGATGGTTTGGTGATCCCTACCTGGCAAATCGCTCGGGGCTCGATTTCTTTACCGTGCTCCTTCGGCACACTGGGGCTGTGCCTGAGACTCTTTACACTGTCACTACTAGAGCTATATGGGAGTCTATAGGCTACAGGTGATAGGTCCAGTTTTTCTTGTAACTTTCCAATGTTGTCACTAAGTTTGTTAATTAAACTTAAGTCTTCACTACTGAACTGGGAGCCCTCATATGGCACTTCACTGCCACTGGAGAGGGGGCCCCCCTCATTTTCTTGCCAGCTACCCTGCTCTGTGCAGGGCTCACTGTCTGTGGTGCTGCTTTGCTCTGTGAAGCCTTCCAGGTGAACCACAGTCTGGGGATGCAGGTAATCCAAGTTGGCAGATGGTACATGGGTTGTGTGACTGACAAAAGGAGCTGCTGTGTCCAGGACTGTTGCCAGGCTGCTGTCCCTCTCTTCAGGGCTGCTCAGGGTGGAAGCTGGGTCAGTGGGCCTGTCGTGCTCAGGAAAGGAAGAATGAGGCAGAGGTAGCACTTTGTGGGGCAGAGAGACCTGGCTGGGGCCCATTGTCCTGTTCAGATTTTCGTCCAATGCAGAGAGGACAGTGACAGCCTTCTCCACTTTCGCCTCCCTCAGTTCTTGCTCCCTACTCTTTTCCCTGGTGGCTACTTCACCCCCAGGCCTAGTGTGAGCAGGTGATGTAACTGTGCGGGTGCACTCAATGACTTCTATCTGCTTGGGAAGAGGGACTGCCTGTGGCTCAGATCCCTGGCACGAAACCATAGTCCTCTGCTCCTTCAGGAATCCTTGCTGCTTGGTTCTAGCCTCTGACTCCTGAGGAGCTGGCGAGGGATGAAAATCCAGTAGCTTGGGTGCTGGAACAATGACATCTTGCTCACAATGCAGTAGTGAGCCAGACTCAGACCCACTGCATTTCCCTTTGCCCTTGTTCATCTCTGGTTCCCTGGGGACAGATGAATGTTCTAGGGTGGCTTCATCACTCTTTCCTTTCAGTGCTAGGTCTGCCACAGAGGAATCATTCTTGGAGTTCTTGCGAGTGGATGATGAGGTACAAGCAGGGGTGGCACTATGGTGCTCTTGCTCCTGCCTCAAGCGCTCCTCAAACTCCAAGGTGGCTCGTCTCACAGACCCTGGGCACCACTTGGTACCTGGGTGCATCCCTGGGCCCCATAGCTCTTGTTCCCCCTCAGCTGGTTCCTCTTCTTCCAAGTCTGTGATGGATGAGTGTACAGTCAGGCAGCCTTCTGGGTCCCACTTCCCTGAGTCTTTGGCTAGTTCAGGCTGGGCTGAGCAGGAGCCCTCATTCTGCTCCAGATTCCCGGGTTTGTTCTCTGGAGCCTGGGGCCTGTCAAGGGGCATCTCATGGACGGTGTTCTTCTTTGGTGTATGGCATGAGTTGGATAAAATGTCTCCTTTTAGCTGAATCTGCCCAACTCCTTGACTAATAGATTCAATCTCAGTGACAATTTCTTTGACAGAAATTGCATTTTCCGAGTGAGATTGCATGAAAATGTCTGGGCTGACCAGTTCTGAGATTGCCTAAGAAGAGAAAATAGTGAGATGGTTATGGCAAATTATAGTCAAATTGAAAATGCCAGTTTTTATGTTTACTGATCCTTTGATTCAGGAGAACCTTCTGGCTATGAGGACATGAATCATGAAGTGGCCGGAACTGTCCTCTGCTGAGGACTGCATGCTGACCATCAGTTTTGTTGTACGAGAAGAAAGCAACGGGTTCATCAAAGGCAGAGATACAAAATTAGTTACAGGTTATATCACTGTCCACTGAACTTTCTGTTCTGTTTACTCCAATAGGATGCCAATCTAACATCTTGTTCCAAAAATGAATAGCAAATAGCATTGGAGGCTCCTAATTTTCCTAAGACCACGAGCCTTCAGAACCTAGGTCATACTGGGGTAAATGAAATTCTCTCTGGCCTCTATCAACTGCCAATTAGAGTCTAACCTAGTTTGAAGGGAATAGTTCCATTCAAGGGCTCAGTGGCCACCTTAAATATGCCCAGTGTTAGACAAAGCAAGGAGGAGGCTATCATCTGATGTCTGATTTGGAGACTCTCTGCTCTCTTCTCGCCTGTCATAGCTTTCATCCATGGCCTCCCACTTCTCGTAGCAGCAGTGTCCCAGCATGTGAGGACACTAGGCATCTGATCACACAATTCCTAAGTTTCACATGGCTCCTTCTGGGAAAGGTTTACTTGGCTTATGTAGCCATGTGCCTGAGCAAAATTAGAAACCGTGACTCTGACATTTTACTGTTCTATCAGTTATGAATTCCCAGATGTACTTATAAGAAAGCCAAAGAAAATTGGCCAATGGAAAAATCAAGTCCTATTGTAAAAAAAGAAGAATTTCAAAATTTAGAAATGGCCCCATGGACACTTCTTAAAGTGACACCATTATGACCATTAATCTATCTTAACATTTTCATAAGCCTTCAAAAGTACATTTCCCTAGGAATTATTCTGGCCTTCCTCTTCAAAAGAGAATCAGAGCTGGCACAAACTAACAAGGTCAGTTATGCCTTTGGGAGAAATCTGCCAGGACATCAGACAGAGGCAGACTTGACAAGACTGGAAGAGAGGCCACAGCGGGCCTGGTGTGTGCATGGGCGGTGCAGGGAGTGCTCATATGACCAGGGACTTTGCAAAAAAGCTATTTCTGTAAGAGTTCCTACACCTGCTGATCCAAAGGAGAGCTCAGATATTCAAACTTCCCAGTAGAAATAAAACAGAAGCATAGCCTTTGGGGAGAGAAGACAGAAGCAGAGGCAACGACTGCCCTTGAGTAGTTAAAAAGAGTTGGAACGGTGAACCCTGGCAGGTGTGGCTCAGTGGATTGAGTGCTGGCCTGCAAGAGGCAACCAATTGATGTATCTCTTGCACATTTTGTCTCTCTCCCTCTTTTTTCCCTCCCTTCCCCTCTCTCTAAAATTAATAAAATCTTTATAAAAATTGAAAAAAAAAGAGAGGTAATGATGAGTAATGGGCAAGGTGGTGAATATAAGGAGACAGACATCAAATAATATCAAGAATCTACTCAGTTCTACATACCTCATTAAATGAAGTCTGGTATGTTAGAGTAACTATGTCACCATTTACTTCCCAACTGCTGTGCTATCTTGATATATTATATTGATTAAAATGCACCCCAATTTCAGAAGTCTTAAAATGAGTCTTAGAAATACTGATATACAGTAATTCTTTCCCTGGTCTCAGGTGGCTCATAAGAGCTCATATGCCGCTGAGAGGAACCTTGAGATTCTGTCAGCTCTCAACTCATTTCCCCAAACCATCCCTCAATTCTTGACTACTACAGGGTCTGAGTTGAAGGACAATTCAGAAACATTATTAACAGCAAGAATTCGGTATCAGAAGCAGGTGCTACTTCAACACCTATTTACACATGTCCAGTCTTTGAATCTCCTGAGACAGAGGCTTTTCCAAACAAATCCATCCCCTCAGAGACACAAGTCTCATTCAGGCAGCACGTGAGTCCCTGGGACTTCATTACTGGTGAGATCTGATCTGAACTGCAGAGGGCCAGGGAGGGGACTGCTCTTCATTCAGCCAGGACATCTGTTTTGGCTAACCCCTTCTTTCCCTCATCCCCTCTCAGATGTGCTGCCAATGACACCAAAAATCGAAAAGATAAATTTCTCAAAAGGCAAGTGACTTAAAAAATATTTAAGCCCTAAGTTTTCAAGAAAAGTCTGAGCTAGACTCTCTCTCCCATACTGCCTTCCCAAATCTTTAGCCACATTAAAAATAAAGTGAACATAGCAGAATCCCAAATATTTTGTCTTCAAAGAGAACTTCATTAGGTAGAGAACTATAAAGATAGTTTTTACCTTTGACTGTTCCTCATCTATTGAAGATTCTTCCGACGCATGGGGAGTATTACTCAAAGAGCTGCTTCTCTGGTCGTCAGCTGTCACTTCAGAAGGGGCCACTTCTACCACTGACAGTCGACAGCTCTCACCCCTTCCTCCACCCAATTCCTCCATCCGTGAGTGGGAAAAAGATCGTGACCGTGTTTCTTGAGAAAGTTCCACAAACTTCTCTAGGGCACTAAAAAAATCAATGCGATCTGTACTGAAATCTGCGACTTCGGTCTGGCAACTGGGTTGGGGGCTTGGTGACTCAGGGTCAGGGGACATGGGAAGGTCTTTCAGGCGAGATGTCAATTCTTCCATAGGCAGTAAGTGGACGTTCACGTCTACTTTCAGCGCATCTGTCTCCAAATCTTCGACCGTTAAGTCTGGGAACTTGTGGGGCATTTCTGGGGCCTGTCCAGGTTGAATTAAGGCTTTGGATGCATGGCAGTTGTCAAGAGGGAATTTTGATTCATTGAGACAACACCCTGATGTGCATCCATTGATATCATTTAGGTTTAATTCATCTTCAATCTGTCCGGCATGAAATTCCCTAGAAGTGAACTCCAAGCAGATCATTCTTTCTTTGGTACACAGGCCTTTCTGATTTTCATCTTGTGGGACGACATGTTCTACAAAGACAGGAGGTATGGGTAGGTGACCTTCCATGGTCTTCACCTCTGCAATCTGGTCTGCTGAGGTGGTGATCTCCTTCTTGTTGAGTTCTAGCCCTGGTTTGCAGATGGGTTCATGGTGGTCTGAGAGGTCGCTATCTGAATGAGATCTCCAGAGCTTGTTATGCCGCTGCTTGCTGTGGAGGACATACACAAGAGATGTCTTAGTCTGGTCTGTGAAAACAATTGACACACCCCTCCCCCTGGAAACTCTTCCAGATAAACTTAAATTTTAACCTGCAAAATGCTCTGTTAATGTCCAATGGAAGTAAGCAATAGCTACTTGAAAAAATGCTCAATTTAACTAACAGCAACAAACAAAAAAACAAAACAAAGGAAACAAATAAATAGGAGATATGATTTTTTAACCTACGAGACTGACAAGAGCTAACATGGTTGCTAGCTGCCAACGTTGATGACGGTACTGGCCAAACAAGCCCTTTCATACACCACAGTTGGGAGGAATATGAACTGTAGCATTTTTAAAAATGAACTCTGGCTGGGGGTGGGCAGGGCAAGGGAGAGCAATGGGGGGAAAATGGGAACAACTGTAATTGAACAACAATAGAAAAAAAAAAGAACTCTGCAAATAGTTCTCAAAAAAATCACCAAACTAGTAACAATTCTTTCAAGGAAGGCAAAAATACTTCTGGGGAGGGCTTTACTTTCCACAATTTCTATAATTTTTGGATTTTAATAATAACAAGCATGTTTAAATTAATAACCAGAAAAAATCATTTGAGTAATACAAAGAGAAATAGTCCATGGAAGCCCATTACAAATCCTCATAATTGGGATTAATCACTGATGTGGAAGTGTGAGGAGGGTGGTAATCTTTCATGAATTAGAAAACAAAGATAAGGCTAGTAAATCTGGTGAAAAAGATTGGTAACAAATGGAAGAGGATGAGCAGAAAGTACAGGCCCCTTTCATAAGGGTTTTTGGATAAAAACCATCAAGCTAAGGTGATACCTGGAAAAGTAGGAGGGCCAAAGGAAGACCACACACACACACACACACACACACACACACACACACACACTGATTTATTTTATGGCGGGAAGGTCCAATGTGGGGATGAGATTTCATTTCAAACCACACTCTCAAACAAAGAAGCACAGTTCCCAAAGCTCTAGCCAAAAAGAGAAAGGTGGCCCTGTGACTGGTCAGGATCACTTGCCCAGGGAATAGGTCACTAAATGGTTTATGGGGTATGGTTTCCATGACTTACAAGCTGATGAAGAGTGACCTAACCGCAGGGTAGAAAGGGAAACAGCACAGCTCACCCTGGGCTCAGGGCCACGCCTGCCTCAGAGGCCTGTAAATCTCTGCTGAGTCATGTGCCTGCACTAATGTGAACCCCTGTTTGTTCTCAACTCTGCACCTGCTCTCGGCTCCCCCTTTGCTACTTGGGTGGGGATCTCTCTGACTCAGGCCTACACAGCAAAAGGATGCTTTTCTGGGTAGGAAACAAACAGGTCAATCTGTTTATGAAGACAAGCTATAATCAATTAGCTGGGTGTAAATTAGGGTCTTCACTCTTTCCAAGCTGCATGAACTCCAGCCACCCCTAGGAGGAGACAACATATCACACATCCCAAACGACTGAGTGGCTGTGTGGAGGGGCAAGCTGACTGGTTGGATAGGTGAGGTCTAACTAAACACTGTGACCAACCAATGCCAATGTGTTTCCCTTTAAAGTTTCTTCTTTCATATATAGACACCCTGGTTTCCTGATCTCAGTATGACTGTCCTCTCCAAGTTCTATCCCTCACCTATTAATGAGCACGTCCAAACCTGCACCAAGCCCTCTCAGCCACCACAGCAGGACAATTCCAATCATGCCAATGACCAGGATGACATCTCTGGGTGTTGTTCTCAGCCTTCCAATAATGTAAAAGAACATCTTATCAATCAACAGGTAAATGGGGTGTTTTCATAATCCCAAAAACCCTCCAAAGTATGATTTTTAAAACTGCCTGTAAACCACTAACAAATCTTATGCTAATAGGCACAACAGTGCCTGTTTCAGAGGAAGTGAGTGACATCATAACTGCTTTGCCCAGCAGGAACTTCCTTCTCTTCCTGGAATAGATAATCATCAGAAAATATTGGTTCAGGGCTCTGGAATGAAACTGACACCTACTTGTAAAGGAGAAATAAAAATCCCAATCTGAAGATAGGTCTGATTCTGCTGCCTTTTTCATTTTCACAATAAAAACCAGCACTGACAGAATTGTTACTATGGCCTTTGAAGCACTTTTACTTCACAGGCCCTGCCTGATCCCCTCCCTCTTCCTCCTTCCCACTCAGGGGTTATTAACTTCTCTCCTGCTTATCATTCCCTTCCTTCTTTTTATAGAGTCATCATGTTTTGTTGTTAATAATATACTGCTCAGTTTTTCATGTTTTGAACTTTATATAAATGAAACACTATATGTATCCTACAACTGTTTTGTTGCCTAACATTATGTTTTTAAGATTCATCAATGTGTGTCTGTAATTGCACACAGTGGAATTTACTAATCTATCCTGTTGATGAACAGTTCTCCTACAAACGACACTGCCATGGCCATTCTTGTGCCCGGTGCACACTTTGGTTTCTTGAAGGTGTTTAATATACAGGAGCAGAAAAGGTGGGGCATAGGGCATGTTTAAATCATGTGTTAGTCTGTAGATGCTTTCCAGTGAACTTTCCAGAAGACAGTTTATTTTAATGCTCCCTCACTGGTTAGAAGAGATAGAAGGCATTGGATCATATTTATTATTTTAAACTGTTAATGTCTAAATTCAGCTGACTCCCCCCACCTGGTTCCACATAGGTAGCAAGTAAACAAGTTGCCAAAAAGAACTTCAGAGTTGGTTTATGACCTGGATGATGCAATCAGCTCCGGTTCTTCCCCCTTGAGTGGCCTCTGACCTGAATTTGAATTCACATCGCACGCTAACACATGCGATGACTGGGCCATGTTGGGTAAGAGTTTGGCCTTTTACTCAGTAAATGAACAAGGAAGTCTAAATAACAGGACGCACACAATATCCCATTCTCTCGTCTCAACCTGCTTTCTTCCTGATTGTTATGTTTGGTAAAGAACTAATTCTGTTTGAGAAAGTTATATAGAGGAAAATAGTGCTAAAAATGGATTATCAGTTATAGCAAAATCAGGTTGTTTACAGTTACTTCTTAGGGCATTAGGCAGCCTGCAGGAAGAAGAAACAGAAAAAGCTTCAATTGAGCATTTTCTGTGTGCTCTGCTTCAAGATTATTTTTCCGAAGAGCTATTAAGCCCTTTAAATGTTGATTGTGACTGGCTGCGTTTGACCGAGAATCCAGGTCCTCTCATTCTTGGGTTCCCTCCTGCTGGCTGACCACTGCGCACCAGCTAACTAGACTTCGGCGTCTCCATCATCAGCAAGCCCAGGGTAAAACAACTCTGCCTCCTCTGGTCCTGGTCACAAGGATGTTCAAAGAATCAAAGCTGACATCTACGAGGACATGTGGCACGAATTCTCCCTGGCCGCCACCCAGTTTTCTTCCTTGCCTTATGCACTGGAACCTAATATCACAGACACATGGTCAGCTTGCAAAAGCCTGAAATCTGAACTTGTCTAATGGAACATAAATCTGCCAGGTACCTGCATGATCAGAGTGCAGAATAACAAACAGGGCTGCTGGCAGTTTAATGAAGGGTTTCACACACACACACACACACACACACACACACACACACCCTCGTCCAGACTCATTCCCATCCCCCAGCTATAATAAAATTAGGTATGAAAATATCAGTGGCTTTATGATATCCCCCTTTTAGTTTTAAGGAAAAATATTAAATATTAGCCTTCCCCAGACTCTCAAAGATACAATGAAACAAATGAAATAGTCAAAAAGTCTCTCGCATTTCGGAGGGGCTATCACTGTTTGGCCCTCAGCCCCACATTCTGATGAAGAGACTATAACTAATTCATAAATCACTATGGAGACCTGATGTCACTTTGCTAAACTTCTTTTCTACCAAGAAGTAAAAGTACCAAACTGAGATTCAAACAGAGCCTGCCGCCTTAAATTAAGTACCCAGTGCCACCCTAGATAACCATGGGGCGAGAGAATGTTAAGATCAAGGCTTTGTCTCTTTAGGAAAACTACCACATGCTTCCTGGATGAAATTATGAAACACAAGACCTGAGTACCACCTGAGTACCTGGCTAGGAAATAGAGTTACTTTGCAAACAGAATGAGTGGGATTTTTCTAAGGGCGTTCCTCTCCTGGTTACCTGAGCTGCAAAGCTAGACAGAGCTTCAGATAATCAAAGGAGTCTGGGGCTTTTCCTTCTTTGCTCTTCTGAGCAGGCAGTTCCTAGAGAAGCTCTCCAGGGTTGGATGAGAGTGTGCTGGGTCTAAGGCACTTGGCGGTTTGACTGGACGGGAGCCTGAGAGTGCCATTTCTTGACCACACATCACAGACTGCAGACCCTAATGGCTGCTCATCCAGCAGGCACTCCCGCTCTTTGTCCTCACTGGCAGAGGTCTGATTTGGTTGGGGGTATTCAATGTCCCATGGGTTCAGGGAATGTAGCACTTCTGTACCACCACAGGGTGAATGTGAATTTGTTTTAGCCAGCCCGGGAAACTCTATTTTCCTGGCCAGTGATTAGTTTTAAGCACATGACTCAGTCCTGACCAATGAGTCCTGGGAGGGGTGAGAGAACTCTGCTGGGGAGCTTCTGGGAAAGGTCTTCCTCCCATAATTGAAATGCGCATTCATTCAGCCAGATGCTGTGGAATTTACAGGTAGATGTCTAGAAATGTGGCAGACGTCTGGCGATCATGAGGAGACAAGTTCAAGGGCTAACCCATTAACCAAGGAAGGTAGAGCAGAAACATGAAGAGTGTGCCAAAACCCTTGATTACATCACTGAGCCATTACAGTCTACTTCTGTGCTTCTTGCTACAAGTGATGTTAAATTATAGCTGGGTGCTGAGCCAAGTATTTTCTGTGTGCCCCTGCAGATCCACTCTTCAGCTTTCCCATCCTGCTCTCTGCTCCCGAGGCTGATATGGACCACATCAACAGGCCCCCTTGCCTTCTGACCTCCACAGGGCTGGACTAATAGGCAGCTTCAGTGGAAGACTGTGGGGAGGAGAGTGAAAGCAGACCATTTACTTCCCCAGCTCCCTTCTGCAGGATTACTCCAAGTAGGCTATGTCCTTAAAGTTATGGCTCCTCACTAAACATGCCTTTCTCTCCTTCTAGGTTCTAGTAACTCTTCCCTCCCTCTTTGGACCTCGAAGCTATTACCAAATAGCTCTGCTGATACAAATCCCTTGATTCCATTTCAATCCCACATATTTGTAAATAGTCCCTTTAGGAAACTCTCCTCAAATAATCCTAATCTTAGTATGCAGTTTCTTGTTAAGCTCCTGATTGATGGAGGTATTCTGCTACTTGCAGCTAAAAGCAGCCTAAGTGTTAACCCCAGCATTGGATTCTAGTTCTTAAAATCCAGGAGACATCACAATATAGAAAATTCCAGTACCACTTTCCATTCCAGTTTCTAATGAAGTTGGTGTGAGTGGTGGGAAGCAGTGGTTGGAAGGAGGAGGAGGTAATAAATGGCATATACCTATGTCAAGGAGGGAGAAATAAATGGCACATGCATATATGTTTTCTGGAAGAAGGAGATGATGAGAATCCTATCTGAATAACCCTTAACAGTACATACTGTACATTTGCACACATTTTAATTTACAATAACCTTGTGAGAAAGGTCTCTTGATTTTTCACTTTACAGATGGGGTCAGGTAAAGAACAGAAATGTGCAGTAACTTCTCAGAGGTGCAGCAAGCGGGTAAACCAGGAATGGAAACCAGATATACTGACTCAAATTCTGTGGTTTTCGTACTCCCCAGGGCTTGCCCTTCCCGCCAAGAATCAAGCCCAGGAAGGCAGGGAACGAAAAGGAAAGAGGCAGGTGATTTGTGGATTTATGCTGCCCTGCTTATGCTCATCTAAGATTTTTGTGAAATTCCTTTAACATCTAAGAAAAACCACATATACTAAAAAGAACCCAACCCAACAGCTTGCAGTAGCCTGCAATTCCAGAATAAATACTGAAATTGGCAGGACACATTGTATCCTTCCTCTCAATGGGCCACGTGAGGACACTGCCTAACATCTGTCCTGTGTGTCTGGGAATATATAGTATTTATGTTTCATCCAACCCTCTGATGCCTCTCTCTTGTACCAAAAGAACTGCTGTGCCCTACCTTCTGATCTAATCTAAAAATGTCATCGACATCTGGCCCCAAAGACCTAAAAATTCTTTTTAAGAATCCTCCCTGCCTTTCATATCCTCTCCGCCTCCTAAGAGAACGATTCAGATGAAATCATGCCAAGTACTGAGTAAATGGGAGGGGTTTTTTAGTGGAAACCATAATGCTATGCTGTGACCACATTTTCACAATACTTCAGGGGTGGGAGGGTGGCCCCTCTGCCTGGATAGGCTGGAAGGCTATTTAACATTTTGTTCAGGGTAAACACAGCCCAGATTCAAGAGTCAAGACCAAGTCATAAGACTCACTGCAGTCGAACTCTGGCACCAGCCCCAACTGCTTCTAGGCAGCTGTGCCCTCACCCTAACAAAACCACCTAGAAAATGCCTCCATGAAAAAAACAAAGCAAAATCTAGCACTCTGCAGGACTGCAGTATGTGGCATCTCAGGAAACTGAGCATTAAACCCAGTTTAATACCTGAATCTTTTCCCCCAGAGCAGCTCAAAGCAGCTTTTACCACCAAGGGGTAATAAATAATGTAGTGAAATTAACTGCTCATTTTAAAACCATTACCTTGTTGAAATAGCTAGTTCTTATTGATACAGGAAGATGTTCAAGACCTAATACTGGGTAGACAGAGAAAGACAAATACTGTATGATGTCACTTATATGTGGAATCTAAAGAAGATGAACTCAGAAACAGAGAGTAAGAATGCTGGTTACCAGGGTGGGGGTTGGTAGAAATGGGAGGTACTGGTGAAAGGTTAGGAGCTTCTAGTTATAAGACCAACAAGTTCTGGGGATATCTAATGTAAAGCATGGTGATTAGGGCTAATACTGTATTATATTCCTGAGTGCTGCTAAGAGAAATATTATATATTATTACCACAAGAAAAGAAATGTGTAAAGGAATGGAGATATCAGCTAATGCTATGGTGACAAGCTGTTTGTGACATATAAATGTATCAAATCAACACATTGTACATGTTAAACTTATACAATACTATATGTAAAAAATATTATATGTCAATAAAGCTAAGGGGAAAAAGGAACAGTGATGGTTAAGTGCAGGGTAAGTGCTCAATAAATGTTGTTACAGTTGAACAGATAATATCAATTGTTCTTTGTGGGACTGAGTATATAAATAATATTTTCCTCTGTAGTTTTTTACAGTTTCATAAAGCATATACAGGGTGGGATAGATATAGGTTTATAGTTATTCATATAAAAATAACACAATGATTAATAAGTAATAAAAGAATAAACACTTGCATACTCACAACTATGAAACTACTTTAGCAACATCCTATATATAAAATTGGATTGAAAGATTAAAAAAAAAAAACCAACCCCCCCCCAAGCCCTGGGCAGGTAGCTCAGGTGGTTAGAGCAACACCCTAAAACACCAAAGTTCGGGTTCCATTCCTGGTCAGATCACATATAAGAATCAACTGATGAATGCATAAATCAGTGAAGCAATTAGTCAATGTCTCTCTCCCCACTGGTCCCATCCTCTTTTTCTCTCTCAAATCAATTAAAAAAGAAGAAAATAAGAGCACTATTTCTGGGATGCACCTTCACACCTCAGATAGGCTATATATATCCTAATTCTGCTGATTTGTTACATGACCAAATTCCTGGGAGCAGGCTCAGTGAAAGCAAGCACAGAAAAAAAAATGTCCAAAGCAGCAGCAGGTACTTTTCTTTCTTTAAACAATGGGCCAAAAAATTTCTAAGAATTTCAGGTATGCCTAGAATTACCTCAGGAGCAATCAGTATCCATTTTGATAAGGCAGCTGCATCTGGCATTAAAAGATGTTGAGGAGTGTTTACTAAAATTTACAGATAGTTGAAAACTGAAATAAGGAAATAGTATTTTCCAACCTTTAAAATTTATTTATTTATTTATTTATTTATTTACTTTTAGAGTGAGGGGAATGGAGGGAGAAGCAGAGGGAGAGAAACATCAATGTGTGAGAGGTACATCGATCAGTTGCCTCTCTCACACCCCCAACTGGGGACACCCGGCCCACAACCCAGGCATGTGCCCTGACTGGGAATCAAACCAGTAACCTTTCAGTTCATGGGCTGGCACTCAATCCACTGAGCCATACTAGCCAGGGCAATTTTCCACCTTTAAATTAAAGGGTGGAACATACAATTCGTTTTGATTAAATGCCTAATCTTCCATGCTAAGCTCAAATTTTTACACCGATTTTGAAAATAATTGGATAGATTTCAATTTTCAAAATGTATGACACATTCAGGTTAGGCTGAGAACCAACTGCAGAGCAGGATGGCTCACCTTTCCCTAGGAAGCACAAAGGATGGAAAATCTGAGAAAGTCACAGTTGAGGACTCACCTTGCCAGCAGGATCCCCTGGTACTCTTCCAGTTGTCTCATGAAGCTGGGGTTGGGCTTAGTCACTGTTCGTCTTTCCTTCACATAGTCATAGGCTCGGTCCAGATTCCAGCCATATTCCTTCATTGCATAGGCAATCACAGTGGAGGCTGAGCGACTCACCCCCATTTTGCAGTGCACAAGGCATTTGGATCCGTGTTTCCTAGTTTGGGGGGTTGAGGTAAGGAGGAAAATACAATAGCGAGTCCACTTTAAAAGCTGGGTTCTAAATGTTGCCAAGTTTCCTGTTCCGCCCTTCCATTTTCTTGTCTGCAATCCATCCACCTAAGTGTACTTGTATATATCTATAATCAACTGTGCAGGAGGGCAGGCAATTCTCATTGGGTAGTCAAAGAATATTCAATGTTAACATTAGCCTCTTTAATTCATTCAACAAACATTTACCAGGAATTTATCATGTGTAAGAAAATGTGCAAGGTATTGTGAGGCAAAGATCAGTAACAGCTTTCCCTAATAGGTAGGATTTTGTGAGAGACGCAGACAATTAAAGTTCAAAATGGTAATTGCGATGACAATTGGTCATGGAGCCTGAGGGGAGAATTTTCAATTTAGAGACTGGACCCCACTTGGAGTGGGGGTGGAGGCCTGTCCCTTCATAGCCTCGGGGGAATGTTTCATGGCTGGCACACTCCTGAATTACAGGTGTGGCAGTGATTCATCTAATTTATCTGAAAGTTCTGAATTGTTTCCAGCTCAAGTTCCAGTTAGGGTTCTGTTGCTGGAGGAGAGCAAGACCCAAACTAATCCTCCTTTTTACTCAGAGGTAGCCCTGGATATTACTTTTCACAACACCATGACCCATGTTCTGTCTAGGGTCTGGCTGTACAACCCATGGAGATGGATGGGACCGTGAGATGTACCACGAGATGTACCAAATGGCTTTTTCAGTGAGGAAGGTGGAATGAATGAATAACTATTTTTTTTAATGTGGTGGAAGAACAAGAAAACAAACTTACCATACAGTGATACAAAAACAAAACAAAACCCCTCAGTCTTAACATGCCAGAGTTTATTACCCTGTATAAGCATTACTCGATTGTGCCAATTCTGCTAATAACACAGTGCCTGGCACCGAAAAAGCCTTTAAATATTTGCTAATGTGTGAACAAACTTATGGATCTGCTGATTAGATAGATCTGTCAGCTGTAAGTAGAAACAACATTTTTAAATCTGTAAAAAAGAATGGTTGCTCTTATCACCAGTGTACACGGGCTGGAATTCTTCCCATGTGGCTATTCCAATGAATTAAAAAAACGTACACATCAGCCTAAAAGGGGAATTCACTCACTAACTCACTGTATTATAGTAGATAAGCTTCCTTCTGGAAGCTTATAATCTTCCTGCTGACGATGGAGGCACCTGAAAGAGTTAAGTATCAGTGCATGGAGGCATGGGTTTAAGTGCCAAAATGAGTGAGCCAAATAAGCTATAGGAATGCAGAGGATAGTCTGGAACAATTAAAACAGTCTAGAAAGGAAGGTAAGATTAACCCCCTCCTTGTCAACGAGATGCAAAATTTTGGTGTCCTAAGGTTGGTGTGGTGTGTCTGTGTGCTTAGATGATGCCAGCTAGAAAATACAATGCTTGTTTTGTTTATGGCACCACAGGGTTTTCACTTAAACTACAGTTGGGAGGCCAATGCACAGTGACTCAGATGGAAGTGCAGACCTGTGCTCAATTATTTCCCCATCAAGCTCTGACAACTTTAATGCATAAAATTTCAGGTCTATACCTGCAGGCCCGAAAGGTACTCAAAGTTGGACAATCCTAAGAAAAATACGATTTAACATCCACTCCCATGAAAACACTTCATATTGAACTAGGCTTTCAATGGATGGCTTCTAACTCATGTGATGAAGGATCTGAAGACAGGTCTCACCTAACCCAATTTCACCTTTCAGGTTTAACCCCACTTCTCTACCCTCCACTCCCCAGCCCCTGCCAGTGCTGGACTGTCCACATTAAGCCTAGCATCACATTAGTAATCTTGAACCCACCCATGTGTATACAGAGCTCGGAATTCAGGGCTCTTATTAAGGTAAAACACATGAGGTGCCCAGTGTGCTGTGTGGGAGGCACTCACTCTCAGATGCCAACCTACACTTGCAGGGACCTGAGAGCGAGTGCTTAAATGTAACCTAGGCACCTTGTATACCTCACCCCAATCCCAGCCTTGCTGAAATCAGCCTTTCTTTTCATTGAGACTGGGGCCTCACCTAATTCAAGTCTCTTTAGCTATAACCCTGACAACCTGCCTAGTCTTTTCCAGTCCCCTTTCCTTAAGGCAGGGGTGTCAAACTCATTTTCACTGGGGGCCACATCAGCCTCAAGGTTGCCTTCAAAGGGCCGAACGTAATTTTAGAACTGTCTAAATGTAACTACTCCTTAACAGTTAAGCGAGAGGTCGGCGCTGCTGCCAGATAAAACAAGGTAGAGGGCTGGATTCAGCCAGCGGGCCTTGTGTTTGCCGCCTGTGCCTTAAGGGATTAGACTATTCCTAGGTATATGATGGACTCTGAAATGTGAAATGGTATTAGGTTCAAGTCCTATTTTTACCACTTGTTACTTAACCTCTCTGGACCTTATCTCTACAGTCTGTCCACCTCTGTAGAGAAGGACAGTATATGCCTCCTGGGTTCTGGAAAATACGGCGTGAGAGGATATACGTGAAGCACCTGGCACACAGTAAGCATGCCAGGAGTGGTATTATTGGGAATAATTTAATGAAAAAATATAAAATGCTCTTCCAAAATATAAAACACTCTTTTAGGTGCTGGCTAGGTACTGTGAGGATGAACTCAAAGCTAGAGTATGGGAATTCAGGTAACTAAAAGGGAGAATTTTCTGATCATGAAGGTCCTTAAGCATGGAATCATTTTTAGCTGCACACTTTAAAAACAGAAGTGTCTGTTTTCTGCCAGGGATGGTTTGAACGTGGTCCCACCTGAAGGGGTGGTGTGGCCAACATGAGTTTTTACGGTTCCTCGTACTGAAGGCAAGGAGATCCCCAGAGACTTTAAAAAAAAAGTGTTGACATATTAATACTAATTAATATTAATTAAACACTACATCAATACCATGAAATAGCTTCACTGAAAGGACCAATTAAAAATTTTTAAAAAGGGCCAATTAATTTAAGGAAGACAACAACAGAAAAGCCAGAGAAAAATTTCACTACTTAGAATATCACAGAAGTACAATTAAAAAAAAAAAAAAAGGAAGAAAAGATTTCCAAAGCTCACTATGTTTATCTCCTTGTTTACAGAGAGGAGAACCCAGCAGTCTAACAATCTGGAATAATTTCTATTATATAACTTTAAAATATCTCCAGTGGCAATTTAAGTATTTCATTCAGAATTTCTCATTTCTCTCACTTCTATTTCCTTTGCTGCAGCTTAAGTTTATTTACTCTTACTTTGTGCTCAATGGAAAGAGCCAACATGAGGTCATCTTCTTCCAGGGGCTTTATCTACTTAAAGGAAAAGTATTCAGTCGCTAGCCATTTTCCCCTAGGATTAAGAAATCTGTCTTCTTTTTTTCCCTTACTTCCCTTTTCCGTACCCTCAGTGAGTTATCTACAGCTTTCAGGCCCCAGCCATGTGTGTACACAGACAACAAGGGTAAGAATGTGTTCAGGACCCATTACTCACTTGGCTTTAGAGATGAATTTATAAGTGTCATTCCAGTAAGCCAGGAGATCTGTTGCCTCTTCATCATACACCCGAATGTTATGATACTCAAAGACTCCTGGGAAGAAGTTATCTATCTCTCGAGTAACATTCAAAATATACCGCACCCTGCAAGGAAACCAAGGGAGAATATTGGCTCTATTACTTAGGCTAAATCCAATTTCCAGCACTGTTTCTCTTACTTAAAATTTGTTTACTCCCTAAGCTGAAATTAAATACTAAAATACCGAAGAAAGCTAAGAAACTAAGGGTCTATACTTATTTGGCACAGAAACTGTTTTACAGGGTTCTGGGCATACCTGGGCATCAGGGAGTTACTGGGAGAAAAGTTATCTACCAAGTTCAACATCTAAATTCCATTTTCAGTTTATGTAGTTTCACAATCTAATCTTTGATAGTCTTTTGAAAACATGTCTCATATTTTACTCCAAAGGTTCAATCTAAGTTCCATGATGTGACAATTCCTTTTTAGTCACTAAAATTACCAGCAAATTAATTTATTCTTTGGAAGTAATTTATAATTTAATCAAGTATCTCCAGAAGAGGAAAAAAAATTTCCTCCTGTCTTCCTAAATGCCAGATTGTCAGATTTTGCTCTACTACTCTCTCTAAACTACAGGAAATGCAAATGAGGCCAGGGCTGGGAGGGTCAGGAAAGTTGGACTTAAAATTCTCTCTTGAACTCTCTAGGCTGCATTCCTGGCTGCTATGGCAGCAGATGTGTCTGAGAGCTCTCCCATACTGAGAGGCCTGCAGAAAAAAGTTTCTGTATCAATTTTTTTCCTGCTCTCTCTCACTGCACAATCTCAATAAAGGCTTCGATTTAATTTGCTGAAAGCTTATCTTTCCTCAATGCTTTGTGCACTCAGACATCATTGGAGTTTACTCTATCAAGACAACATGGGCTCATTTCTCTGCAAAAGCTGCTTCCTTCTCAGAACCACATGCAGGATTATACAAACCCAATCTCCCAAGTCAGAGAAGTGATGACAGAGAGGAAGAGCCATTCCCTAAATGGTGTGGCTCAGTGGGTTGGGCCTCATCCTGCAAACCTAAAGGTCACCAGTTCAATTCCTGGTGAGGGCACATGCCTGGGTTGTTGGTCAGGTCCCCAGCTGGGGGTGCAATAGGTAACCGATCCATGTTTCTTTTGCACATGGATGTTTCTGCTCCTCTCTTTCTCCTTCCCTTCCCTTCTCTCTAAAAATAAGTAAATAAAATCTTAGATAAAAGAAAAAGAAAGGGAGAGCCACAGGTAACCAATTCTGTGGTTAAGGTGAAAAGACCAACATTGTTTCTGGGACCTGATTTGAATCTGTTTTAACATAGCACTAAAGTCCTTTACTAGAAAGGATTTAAAAATAAAATTAAAAAGCAAGCACATGCAACTGTAGAAAAGAGTCTAGCAGTTCCCCTAAAGGTTAAATAGAGTTACCATATAACCCAGGATTTCTTCTCTTAGGTAGGAAGTCAAGACAAATGAAAATATAAATCCATCTAAAAATTGTACATGAATGGTCATAGCAGCGTTCAAAATATTCCAAGGTAGAAACAACCTAAATGTCCATCAACTGATGAATGGATAAACAAAACGTGGTATATCATAGAATATTACTTTGCAATAAAAAAGAAATGAAGTACTAATAACACGCTCCAACATTAGTAAATCTTGAAATACAATGTCAAGTTAAAAATCATTCTTAAAAGACCACATATTGAATGATTCCATTTATAGTATATGAAATTTTCAGAATATGCAAATCTATAGAGACAGAAAGTGTATTAGTAATTTCTAGGGACTAAGGGAAAGAAGGGAATGGGGGTGAATGCTAAAAAGTACAATTTTAGCATTCTTTTCGGGTTGAAAAATGTTTTAAACTGCTTGTTGCACAACTGTGTATGTACTGAAAACAACTAAGTATACATTTTACTTTTTTCCACTTTTTTAAAAAATATATTTTATTGATTATGCTATTACAGTTGTCCCATTTCCCCCCTTAATTCCCCTCCACCCTGCATACCCCCTCCCCCATTCCCCACCTTTAGTTCATATCCATGTGTCACAAGTTCTTTAGCTTCTCCATTTCCCATACTATTCTTACTGTCCCCCTGTCTATTTTTTACCTACCATCTATGCGACTTATTCTCTATACCTTTTTCCCCCCTCTCCCCCTACCACTCCCCTGTTGCTAACCCTCCATGTGATCTCCATTCTGTGGTTCTGTTCTTGTTCTAGTTGTTTGCTTTTGTTTTTGGTGTGGTTGTTAATTAGTGTGAGTTTGCTGTCATACACTTTACTTTTTAAAAAGATTTATTTATTTATTTATTTATTTATTTATTTATTTATTTATTTATGGGAAGAGAGGGAGAAAGAGGAGAGAGAAACAATGATTGGTTGCCTCTTGTATGCGTCCCAACCACAGACCAAACCTGCAACCCAGGAATGTGCCCTGACTGGGATTAGAACCTGCAGCCTTTCGCTTTGTGGGATGATGCCCAACCAACTGAGCCACACTGGTCTGGGCTGAAGCATACATTTTAAATGGGTGAACTGTATAGTATATGTAGTACATCTCAATAAAACTCAGGGAAAAAAACACAAACACACTTCTCTTATTTTATTTAAAATAAAAATGAACAACCTCTCACCTCCAATTCCATACTTCGGTAATGGATTATAGCAGAACAGAACTTCCCAATCCTTTTTTATTACAGAACTCTAGGTAGCCACTCCAATTGGAATTGGCACTCCCTAAAATTTCTTTGTCATCTTTATACAGACTAGCACTTTACTTGGGGTTCTAAAGTCAGCATACTGGTGAAATATAGCCTTTATGTCAAAATTATACTTGCAAATCCCTTATATGTTTTGGGGTATAGATCCCCGAGCTGTAATTCTTCACCCACTCAAGTTTAAGAACTAGTACATTTAAGAAACAAGATCTAAGTTGGTATCTGACTATCCAACTATACTGTCTTTTAAAACAAATATATATACACACATACATATATCTGCATTTTATATTTAGCCTTATAAGTAGTAAATGAGATGAACAGGCCTCATTTCCAGCTGGGATTGTAAGTCAAAAGTCAAAGCGTATTCTGAAGTCAAAGTGTGTGTATGCATGATGTGATTCAATGCATTTGGCCAGCACTGCTAGATCACATCTCAGATTTCACATTAAATGTGGTGCCTAGGTGCTACTTTCCCACAGACCATAGTCTGTCAATTTTTCTATAAATCTTTCACATTTATTGAGTACCCTATTAAGCTCTGAGCTAGGGAGATGTATGTTTTACACAAAACTAAAGTCTCTGCTTTCAAGAAGTCTATCAATTTAAACTTTCCAAGTTCTATTTATTTTGATATATTAAGTAACCAGATTTCCTCCCCTGGAACTCTTTTTATAATTATTTGGCTTGAATTCTGCTCCAAGTTCATTTTAGCAATTATGACATGCCTTTCTTCTGGGGGAAAAGTAAGGAGTATGCATCTAATCAGGTTAAAGATAACCAGAAGGCTGAGTTGTAGCTGAGAAAACCAGCAGCCCACAACCAGCCAGGCAGCAATCACTCTCTGAGTCTTAGTAATAAGTCTTATCTCTGCCTACAATGAAGAGTCAGCATGGCCAATTTCCAGACACAATTTTCTCTTCTCTTGTTGGGATGATCTGACCTCCTAAGGCCAAGTACAATAAAATAATTTAGGCATTAGCTAGGAATTTAAAAGGAAAGAATGGCAGATTTTTGTTTGCTGAATGTTCAGTATGGTCTCAATTGCTATAATGAAACTCAATAACCTGGCTGTTGAGGAGCACATTTCTTAACACAAGGTAGGTCTTATTCGATTTCAGAAGCTTGTCTATTTTACATTTATAACTTAGTCACCAAGCACCTTATTGAGACTCATATATTTCTGGATCCCTAGCACCTAGTATTATGCTTGGCCACAGAAGGTGCTCAACTGAATGAACAGCCGTGAAACCAACATATGCAGTCTTGCATACTCTAATAGAAAAATAGGAGCCAAAGGCAAAACTATAGGGACAGTAGAAAGATCACTGGTTGCTGGGGTTGGAAGTCAGGGGATAAGTGGATAGAACATAGAGGGTTTTTAGGGCAGTGAAAATACTCTGTGATGCCATAATGATGGATACATTATACACTTGGCCAAAACCACAGAATGTACAACACCAAGAATGAACTGTAAGCTATGGACTTTGGGTGATTATGATGTGTCAATGTAGGACCATTAATTACAATAAATGCACTACTCTGGTGGGGGGATACTGATAATGGTGTGTGGGGGGGGGCTATGCATGTGTTGGGGCAGGGGTATATGGCAAATCTCTGTACCGTCCCTTCAATTTTGCTGTGAACACTTAAATTGCTCTAAAAAAGTTGTTTTTAAAGGAACCAATAAGTACATTTTTGTTATGCACAGCATGAAAAGCTTACACATTTGTTTCTGAAAGCCTTGCCACTGAAACAGTTGATCTTTCTTGGTAGGTGGGAGGATGAAACAGTGGGAGAACAGCAGTTTTAGTTCTTATTCGATTGCACCTGATTAGAACCAATGGGAAACAACTCTTAAGCTGAAAGTAAGTCACTGACACCTCTTTGACTGGCAACTGGTAGAGATAAAACAGTGACGCTTACCCTCGGTTCTGTAAATCTTCTAAGTTGGAAGCATTCCATTCGGAGCCCTGTGGAACCAAAAAGACAAGGTTAGGGAGTATTAGCAAATGAACCAAACACAATACTTGAACGGGAGGCTTGTCAGGGAAGAAGCAGAGTTTCTAAAAAGAACGCTGATATCATCACTGAATTTCCACTCTATGTGCCAGGTACTTAACATGTATGTTACCGTGTTTAGTTTTCACAAATGATAGAGTAAGAAGCTAGCTTCATTTTTATGGATAAGAAAACTGACCCTCATAGAATTAAGGTAATTTCTGTTCAAGATCACATTGCTGGAAATGTGCCTTTGACCATCTTCCAATCTAAGTTAAATGTCTGTTATTCTTGCTTATAGAGTACTTTGATTTTTTTCAAAAGCAGGTGTCACAATTTTTATTTGTGTATTTATTCATGGGCTTGTTTACTACCTCTCTCTCTTCCACTGTAACGTAAGCTTCTGTTGTTCCCTCTGGAAACCCGTGTATACTGCCTGACACCTGGCAGGTAGTTAATAAACATTTGTTGAATGAACAAAGTGGCATTATTACACATTAAACTTAGATTTCGTTCTAGAGCCCACACTCTTTCTATTGGATTATGCTGCATGTAAGGAGTGGGAAGTAGTATGTGCGCACGTGTGTAAAGAGTGAACAGCAGCTTCTGACAAATGAGGGAAATATGATATGCAAAACTCAAGGAGGTTTTACAGATTATCTGGAACATACACCAATTTTTTGTATTTTGACATTCACTTTCTTTTCTTCCATTTCTTTCAATGTATATCTCCTACTTTTTTCCCTGAACCATTTAAAAATAATTTGAGCATCGTACTTCCCTTCAATACTTGATCATAGATTGTTTAAGAACAAAAACATTCTCCTATATAATTCCACTTTTACAACCAAGAAAGATAATATTAATACAATAACAACCTATCACCCATATCTGAATTTCAAAATTTGTCCTCAAAATGTACTTCATATTAATTCTATCAAGAATCATACTTTGGTCCTGGCTGGGTAGCTTAGCTGGTTAGAGCATCATCTTGATACATTAAGGTTGTGCGTTCGATCCCTGGTCAAGGCACATACAAGAATAAACCAATGAATACCTAAGTAAGTGGAACAACAAACTGATGTTTCTCTAAAATCAATAAATTAAAAATAAATCGCCCTGGCTGGCATAGCTCAGTGGACTGAGTGCGGGCCTGCGAACCAGAGTATCGCGGTTCGATTCCCAGTCAGGGCACATGCCTGGGTTGCAGGCCAGTTCCTAGCAGGGGACGTATGAGAGGCAACCACACATTGATGTTTCTCTCCCACTCTTCCTCCTTCCCTTCCCCTCTCTCGAAAAATAAATAAGTAAAATATTTTAAAAAATCACACTTTTCATTTAGTTGTATGTCTCGATCTCCTTTAATCTAGAACAGTCCATCTTTACCTTTATCATTTCTGTGTTATTGACATTTTTGTAGACTACAGGTCTGTAATCTTGAGAGAACTCCTCACAATCTGGATTTGATTGCTTCCTGATGACTAGATTCAGGTCAAGGATTCTTGGCAAGAATATTACAAGGCTGATGTTATGTACTTCCTACAGCATCAAATCACGAGGTAATTAGTGTCAGTTTGTCCTATTGTTTGTCATGCTGACTTTGAATTCTTTGTAGTATCTTTGTATCTGGTACATCCTTCTACTGCATAGGTTTCTTTACAAACAGTCATTTTTAGGTATAAATAATCTTCGAAGCCATGTGAATATCTGTTTCACAATAATCTTTTACACTATGGTTTTGGCATCAATTGCTGATCTTGCCCAAATCAATTATTTTATTGGAGGTTACAAATGGTGATTTTCTAATTCCATCATTGTCTCTGCATGTTAGCTGGCATTTTTCTGTAAAAGAGAGCTTCATCTAATCAATGTTTCTACCCTTCAGCTGAGTGTTTCTATGCACTCATGAATTCTTTTTGTATTTACTGTAATAATCTATTATCATCAGTTTCTTTTTTGACACTCAAATTGTCCTGAATTTGGCCAGTGAGAATATTTTCAAGCAGGCTTGTTTTGATATGACTCCATTAGCCTTTAGCAATTCCTTATTTCCTAATACCAAAAAAAAAATTGCTTTAGATTCACTTTGTGAGTGAAGCCCACCATTTCTCCAAGAAGCTCTGGCTTATTTAGTGAAGAATGGTACTTTCTAATCAAGATCTAGGCATTTAAATTAGGTGCCTTCGTAACTAATGGGTGTCATTACTTCTAAAATTTTTCAGGGGACAGATCTGGCAAATATTCCCAAATATATAATCAGTTTATACTGGTACCTCTGATTCAAATTTAACACTGCAAGGTGCTTTCTTTCTTGCCCCTCCCCCATTATTTTATCTACACCATGGTGAGAACCTTGGTTCCCAACAACTCATTTGCTTTACTTACAAAATAGTTTCAAATACTATTACACCAACACCACAACCAACAACAAACCTGTTAAGTTCAAATTTTCTTTGCAGTTCTCTTTTTTAAATTACACCCTACTAAGGAGTATAATCAGAGTATTATGCTTTAAAGTGATTTAAATCTATCTTTTTTGTGTGAGGTTATCAATCTGATATACATTTGGGTTCATTTGTTTCTGTTTGTATTCAATTTTTCCATTTTTTAAAGAATATTTTTTATTGTTCATGTTTCTTTAACTTATTTTTCTTAGATAAGTCCCTTTAACATTTCATATAATAAGGGCTCACAGTTATTAACAACCACACCTAAAACAAAAGCAAACTAAAAGGACAGCTAGATCAGGAGTGGAAACATAGAAATGAAGATCTCAAGGAGGGTTAGCAACAGGGGAGTGGGAGGAGGAAAAGTGGGGAGAAGGTGCAGAAAATAAGTAGCATAGACAGTAGACAGAAAATAGATGGGGGGGCAAGAATAGCATGGGAAATATAGAATCTAAAGGACTTGAGACACATGGTCATAAACTAAAGGGGGGTAATGGTGGGGATGCAGGGGTAGGGTGGAGGGGAATGAAGGGGGGAATAGAACAACTGTAACAGCATAATCAATAAAAAAATTTAAAAATAAGAATATTTTTTATTTTTCAATTCCATTCTTTTTGAGTTTTTATGAATATACAAAACTTTCACATGGTTGGAAATCAAAAGTGTATTTAAAAGTAAACTTGAGCCCTGGCTGGGTGGCTCGTTGGTTGGAGCATCATCCCATAGACCAAAAGGCTGTGGGGATCGATTCCAGGTCAGGGCACATACCTAGGTTGTGGGTTTGATCCCTGGTTCGAGTGCATACAAGAGGCAACCAATCAATGTTTCTCTCACACACTGATGTTTCTCTCTTTCTCTCCACCCCCTTCCTTCCTGTCTCTCTAAAAGCAATAAACATATCCTCAGGTAAGAATTAAAAAACAATAAATAAATAAAAGTAAAGTTGAAGTCTCACTCCTACCCCTATCTCTTCAATCCCCATGGGTAGCCATTTTCATTAGTTTCTGGCTTATTCTACCTATGTTCTATTTTGAAAGAAAATATAAGCAAATACATAACTATACTATATCTTACATAAAAATAGTATACTACATATACCCTTTTTACTTTTCACTTTCAAATGTTTGATATACGGTAAACCACTCTATATCATAGATCACAGAGATTCTCCTTATTCTTTCTTACATCTGCACAGAACTTCATTGGATAGTAATATAATAGTTTATTATACCACCATCCTGTGAATGATGTTTCATATTTGTGGAAGCAAGATTTCTGGGTCAAGGGTAAATGTTATAGTTTTTTTAGAGACATTGCTAAATTCCCCTCCATAGAGTTTAGAACAATTCTGCATTTCCACTAGCAATGTACGAGAGTGCCAGTTCTTCCAGAGCCTTGCCAACATAAATGTGTTTAAAACTTTTGAATTTTTGCAAATCTAGTAGGTGTGAGATGTTACCTCAGTGTAATTTCAATTTGTATTTTTTAAGAGTAAAAGTGAGCAAATTTTCAATATTTCAGGTCCATTTCTATCTTTAAGCTATTTGTTCATGTCATTTGAAAAGACAAACATTTAAAAATGAGAATTTACCTATTTCAGAATTATGCATTCAACGGAATTTAGCATTAAAAGACTCGGTTCAACTCCCAACTCCCCTTCTTATTGTGGGGAGTTGGACAAACCACTTAACCTGTGTTCACTTCCCTTATCTATAAAATGGAACACTTCTCCCACCCTAATCCTATCTATCTACTGGGCACCTGGCTCTCAAATTACAACTATAGTTTCTCCCAATTCCTTCTGCTATGTGAGAATACAAAGAGAACTCTGTGATCTGGGCCCTCACTTGAACATGCAGGCACCCTGATGTCAGATTTTCAGCCTCTGGAACTGTGAGAACAAATTTCTGCTCTTTACAAGTCAACAAACAAACAAAAAAACCAGTTTCTCTCATATTAAAGTAGAAAAACCCTCTCTTCATTCTGAATCCTCCTCTACACACTGTCCTTTTTCTCTTCCTCTCATATTCAAGACTCACAGAAACATAATATAATACTTTCTCCAATTCTTTATTTCCTATGTGTTTCAACCCACAGCACTGTGGCTTATGCCCTCCCTCATCACTCTTGTTAATGTTCCTAATGACCTCTTTTAATCGTCTAATTCAAGGGTCATCTTTGTATCCTTATTCCATTGGTCTTTCTGGGAGTACCTATTTGATATGGTTCATTAGTCCCTCCTTATGGAACTAGATCACACTCCACAAATATCTAGCTTCATGCCTGTCACAATAAAAAGGATCAACAAATGTTTGTTGAATGATTAAATAAGTAAATAGAGGACTTTGAAAATTGTTAATTGTATGCAAACACTGTTACAATATTACAAGTGGAATGTATTTTAGTCACTTAACTGGAAGGTCTCAAGAATACTATACAAAGTTCCAGGAAGTGAACGGCAACTCATCTTTTTTTTGCAGAGTAGGGCTCAGATGACTTGCTTTCAAAAAATATGGATGGTTCTGAAGGTATTATGCTCAACCATAGAAAACTAGCTCCCACACCAAAGAAACAGGCAAGAACTACAGAAGACTTCAAGGAGACAGCAGCTAAGCAATAAAGGGTTGAGTGGCTAAACTGAAGCCAGAGAAATGTGACCACCTAACTTCTTAATTTAGAAATTTAAATCCTCTGAGGAACTCTGTCTAGCTAGATGGAAATAACCCTGATGTGATGGGGAAAGTCCATGGCTTTATCTACTTGTCCAGAGAAAATTCAATCTAATAATCAGAAATAACACATATTCAGAAACAAAATAAATTAAAAGCCCTGGCTATTGACTCAGTGAAGCCTGTATAAAGTGACTTGGGCTGTGGTTAGGGCTGCTTGGAGTTCAACCTGAAAAAACTGGAGTCACTGTGGTGTAATTACTTTTCTGTCCTCAATATATATGCCATTTATATTAGCCCCCTGGGGTCTTCCACAGACTTGGTCTTTTTTTCTCTCTGCTTCTCAGGCTTACAATGACTTAATTCCATGGGGGTTTTTACTATGTTCTATGTAATTATGCAAATCATTTTCTAATCTTCCTGAAATGTAAAATGAAATCTTGGGACGATAATACACGTTTAAATAAATTCATTTCCATCTTTTCACTCTTGTTCCCCTACACTGTACCCTTGCCCAAAGACCCAAGTGACTGATTTATTTTCAGTTGTTATCCTCAGGAAATAGCCCTGTTGTGGTCTGAATGTTGCCAGCAAAACAAAAGAGAGCACTTTATGACAGATAAGAAGTGTACTGGGGTTCTGCTAAAATCAATGCAACTTGACATAATCTCCAAGAATTGCTACCCCTGTCCATATCTTCTTCATTATATCCACAGTTTCAACACTGTAAGCCACATTACCGTGGCAACCAGGCACAAGATTTCTTTTAACTATATCTTATACATCTAGCAGAAGGACAAAAATCATGAATATAATAAAAATAGTCCATTTGATTACTGTCTCACCTATTCACATGTCCTTCATTTCTCTGTATCTACTTTAAAAAGTAATCACAAATTTGCCCTGGCTGGTGTAGCTCAGTGGATTGAGCGTGGGCCTGTGAACCAGAGGATCAAGGTTCAATTCCCAGTTAGGGCACATGCCTGGGCTGCAGGCTGGTTCCCTGTGGGGGACCCATGAGAGACAACCATACATTGATGTTCTCTCCCTCTCTCCTTTCCTTCCCCTCTAAAGATAAATAAATAAAATCTTAAAAAAAAAGTAACCACAAATTAAAAAAGTAACCACAAATTTAAGGCTTAATTGTCTTTGAAAAATAAACACTATTCTAAAAGGATCTGTAATGTTAAATCTTAAAAAAGATATCAGCAGTAAAAATTCTGACTACCTTTTTTTCACAAGCAAAATTATTGTATATGTGCTGCTGAAGCAAGTACCACAAACAAAATTATTGGTTGTGTGTCCAATACTCCTGTGTTTCCCTCATTTAACTAAGAAAGCTGCCTGCCTTTCTGCAAAGGGTCTCCGTTCACTTCTAGCTTTTTCTCAGCCAAATCGGACAGCCTCCAGGAGAGCTGTTGATATTGAGATTTGGTTGGTCAAAGGCTTTCAGCTCAGAGAAATAGTACACTCTTAAGGGCGTGGAAAAGCTTTTTCTGGAAATACCCTGGCTTCCAACCAATGAATCCTCTCTTCTTGCTGCAGATTTTCTTTAAACTATGCTCTACACTTTTATTCTCCATATCATCTGGATACTTTGCCAAATAAACATCTCTGTGCAGTGCATCACAGAGCTGAGCATTCTTCCACAGGGAGGGGAGAAATCCTGCTGTCTCCCTTCACACAATCTACTTGCGCTCCAGGCATGGCAGCTATGCACAAGATGAAATGACTTTGCAGAAAATTAACACCACCATTCGCAGCTTGGATAAGACCTCTTTTCCCGTGTCAATTGCTGGGAAAGCAAGCAGAGCAGAGACTCACTGGAGAAGATGGGGGTTTGGACATAGGACATGTTGGTACAAACAAAGGGAGGGAGCCATCAAGGAAAGAATATAATAAGATATTTAGACAACCTGTTCATCTACTTATCTTGATGGATGAGAGTTAAATTTCAGGATTCTCCAGTTTTAAAGTTTTTTCCTCTCAAATAAGAAAAATATTCACATGTACAAAGAACACGTCCATTCTCTTGAAAACACTGACGTAACTGAAGCAGAAAAGATATTCCTTTTTTCAAAAATATTTCCTTTTTCAAAAACAGGTATATGTTTAAAAAATTAATAAAGACTGAAAGGCAGTATTATATAATAAAAGAGAACAGAGCTTATGTCTTGGTGACAATTAAATGTTATTGTCTTTTTAAATTTTTGTAAGTTTTCTACCATGAACATGAATTATTTTTGTAATAAGAAATTTACAGTCAATTAGAAGGTATAATTTAGGAAGAACTGAATTGTTCTTTCTGTTTAAAGTATCATTAAAATATGTTTACATGTCCTTAAAACATACCCTTTGAAGAGATGGGTAAGGAGAAAGTTCTTTGAGGGGTGGTAGCAGAGAAACAGGGAAGTATGACTGACATTAAACAGTGTGACCAGTCAGATACTGACTGTATGTGATATTCACGCCTATATACTTCTAGGTATTAAAATCCATGATCAGTGGAAAAGTTAAGTTTACAACTTTGGTCACTTATAAACATGAGCTATTCGTGGCTATGGTCATTAGCCCTTCATAAAAATGTGATGACACATGAAGACAGTTGGGGGCAGGGTCCATTTGAATGAATGACTCATATGTTTTCTATAGATAACACAAAAATTCTTCCCGACAACACAAGAGTAAGGAATACCCGAGTCCTCGTGGAAGTATACACAAAAGACAGCAAAGCCAGGTGCTTTACAAATGGAAAGGTCAAAAACAGCTTTGCAGAATGATCCACACCCAGAAGCGGCAACACACATTGGTCAAGTTAAAGTAATGGAAAAGAAGCTCCCCTCCCAGCTCACAGTTTTTCATGAGTAATTTCACAGCTATATGCCACTATGAGTCACTCTATAAGCACACATACTCTAGAGTGTCACGAGTTAATTCAGGGCACAAGCCTTCCATGACACAAAGTCTGACTGCTTGGTCAAATAAAACTCTTGAATATTCAGGGTGAGATGACGCAGTTTAGTTTCTGTGTGTGCATTCATTCCTCTCCTCTCCTATTTTCCAGCTTCTAATCATTTCACAGTACACACATGTCCTCATAAGAGAAATGATGTGAAATTCAAATAAATCAAATTCAGTTCCTTGTTAGCATTTTTGGTCAAAGTGTGTGGTAAATGGAAACAAAAACAAGGATCTGGCATCTTCCCACCCTCCACTCTCCAATTTTAACTGTCCCCTGCTAACCTTGTTCCCACTATTATGGTACAGATGAAAAGTAGAACTCTTAACATTTGGGAGAAATACATGTTTTAGGATTTTAGAAGCTTTCCTAATCCATCCATCGGAGAGGTCTCCTTGGGCTAATTACAGGTTACTGATTGTTCAAGAAGAACAATTGTTCACAAAGAACAATTTTAAGCTACCCATTTTTTGGTAATCACAAAAGTTTTGGGGGAACTCAAAATGTAGCCACAAGGTTTAAAATGCTTAAAAGTCCAATAGCCTCTCAGCTGTAAGTTGTTCCCACTTGCTCTGTTTGGATATATCAGACCTTAAGACACTTGGCAGAGTTGAAAGAGTGACCTTAGCAGGGGAGACCAACTCATGGCCCAGGATGGCTATGAATGTGGCCCAACACAAAATTATAAATGTACTTAAAACATGAGATTTTTTTGTGATTACAAATTGCAATGTGTTTAATGAGTGGACCAAGACAACTCTTCTTCCAATGTAGTCCAGAGATGGCAAAAGGTTGGACAGCCCTGCAGGATCATGCTATTTGGATACACTGTAGAAAACTATTATGGATTGGTCTGCCTTTGACTTTGACTACTATGAAGAACAGATGAGATATTTAATAACCCATAGGGAAGAAAGACCTAATTTGTAGCATCTGCCAATTTCCTTGTTGTAAATTTTCCCACCATAGTCAATTTTATGATGTCACTGAATGAGAAATTGGGAACAGATGAGCAGAAGCTCACCATTATACAACATTTCCCCCATACAATAGACATAAATAAACTTAAGAGCATAGAAAATAGCAAAAGAATTAGAAACTGATGAGGTCTGAGTATCTATAGTAACTTTGTTTTTAGTATAAGTTGCATTTTATTTAAATATAATAAAAATTAACAGCTACACCCCACCCTCCATGAGTTAGGATGGACTAGCTTTAGTACATCACTCAAAGCAGCCCTAAAACTCACCAAGAATACGTGCTCAAATATCTGTGTAGGGCTGTCCATCTGACCAAGGATCACTATCATTTCATTATCTATAAATTCCTTGAATTCTCTCAGGTTACACACCATCTGCATTTCCAACTCGGTTCGTATCTGAAACAAAGATGACATGTTATACTCTCTGTAAAGTCCCTCTGTACTTTCAATCACTCACCATTTCTAGCCCAGCCTTTATCCCACTCCCATCTAGCCTTGAAACAACAAGGACTTACGGTCTCTTACCTCTTTGGATGTGATATTCTCCAAATCCTTCTGCATCATTATCTCCCTTAATTTGGTTTTAATTAGTCTTTCTGTTCGCTCACGTTCAGTTGGTCTGAGAAGAGAGAAGTGGCGAATTTTCTTAGGCATGGATTTAACTTAAGTTAATGAATGTGCCCTCTGATTATGCTTCCAAGTTGGCAAGCTTTGCCTCTATTACCCTTAAATTTGTACTCTGGAGAAATGTCCAAAAGAAAACAATGTTTTTTAAAGTTTCTTTTCAGAATGTATAGAATGTAAACATGTAGAAATTATTATTGAAGAGGCTGTACATGTATAAAAGCCCTTAAATATATTCACATATGTAGATCCATGAAGTAGTAAAGACAAATAGGCTATATTGAGTGTAATGCTTTAATGATGGACCATAATCCATGGTTTCCCATCAAGTACCCAAGTACCACTTGCTGAGCTGGGTAGGCCAGTGGTATGACCCACTATAGAACTGGGTCTTCTGTAACATAAAATACCACTTAATATTCATTATTTATTCATTGCTATGGTTCCAGAAAATGGGAAATAGGGAAGAATGATTTCTGCCTTTTTCAAGGAGGCAAATTCTCTTCCAAAATAGGTTTTCAGGATTAACTACCTGGAGTGCTTCTATCCAAAATGCTTTCCTTTTCACAAACACTCTCACAATAGCTTTGTGAAACTGTTATCCCCATTTTACAGATCAAGGAAATAAACAGCCGAAGAGTTAAATGACATGCCAATGATCACCCACACTGGCAGGAGAGAATCAGAACTCTCAGCCCAGCCTAACACTCTACCTGCAGGATTATGGTGCTTCCTTTCATCTTCTGACTCTTTTAAAAATAAAATTATCTGGGCCCTGGCTGGTGTAGCTCAGTGGATTGAGCACGGGCCTGTGAACCACATGATCGCGGTTCGATTCCCAGTCAGGGCACATGCCTGGGTTGCAGGCCAGTTCCCAGCAGGGAACTCACGAGAGGCAACCATACATTGGTATTTCTCTCCTTCTCTCCTTCCCCTCTAAAGATAAATAAATAAAATCTTTAAAAAATAAATAAATAAAATTATCCTCAGAACTTCAATAGGAAATCAAAATAGGAAGCTGATTCTCCAATTACTAGACAGGTATAGGTTCAATGTAACTGGATGCTTTTCTCTAAAAGTATTATTTCATGTTATGCAGAATTTGAGTGAGGCTGACAGAGAGCACTTTCTGTCTCATCTTACCCCTCCTACCTACTCAAGAAAGGTATCTGCTCTGTACCTCCTTATTTGGAGATGGACATGGACTAAGCCTTCAGGCATTCTGCCTGCCCTTGCTGCCTACAGCCTTATCACTGGCTGCAAAAATAGCTTCAGTAATCTCCAAAGATGGATGTTCTGACCCCACAACCTTGGGGCTCCCTACCACTTTGGCTTTTAGTTTCTCATGAACTCTGCAGAATACAGCTAATACCTGTGCCATTTCCTTGTCAATCGGCCAAGGCCTCCCTGTCTTGACTAGGATTAAAATTCTTAATCATGCTCCCCACCATTTTTCCTAGACATAGATAATGGTTGAAAGTATACACTTTAGTCTTCTATTAAAAAGAAATATTGATATAACAATATTTTAGCACATGTATGCATGGTTTAGATTCCTTAGTTTAGCAATCTGTATCCAAATCCTTCACACTTGTTTGAAGCCGAGTGGTTTAGGAGCAGACACATCTAGGTTTTAATCCCAGTCCTACTACTTACTAGTGATGTAAAATTGAACAAATTCCTTTCTTTCTCTGAGCCTCTTCCCTTTCATATAAAATAAGAACAGTAATAATACCTGTCTCATGAGGTCTCCTGAGGATTAAATGAGACATCCTGTATGAAGTGCATGGCACAGCATTAGACATAAACCAGAGGCACCATGTATACGTTCCCTGGTCCCCTTCCTTGGATTTTAAAACATAAATTTTATTCATAGTAGAGCATTGAAGTCCATTGTGGCACACATTTTCTCTGTGTTCTCAGCATATCTTTTAAGGTTTTTCTAGTCCACTTACGAAGGAATGGGAATGGAAAAAGCATTACAACACAAACACATTTTCTCCCTCAATCTCACTGAAGAAAAATTTGGAAAATACATAAAAACAAAAGAAACTAAAAATTCTTATCAGAGACAATCATTAATACCGTAACTGACAGCTCAAAGTCTTTTTCTATGAACAGATAAAAATTTGTTTATTAAGTTATCTTAAAACTGGGATTATGGTGCATATACTAAGAACTAACATTTAATGAGTCTCTACCATGTGCCAGGGACTACATTTTTTACATTATTTCTTTTGTTTGGGAATATATAGAAAAATGATGGTCAATTTTATTTTTTGTACTGTCATTTCCAAATTTTCTCTAATAAAATCATGAAAAATAAGACATGTTTTCTCTCTCTTCTTTGTCTGGTTCAGGATGTCCATTTTTGAGTCAGATGTGACATCCATTCCTCTGATACCTACCAATCAGCTATGAAGCAGGAAATTAGTAACATTTCCCAAGATTCTGAAAGCCAAACTAACCCTTACATTTTTTGTTACTGTGGGATCTTGAAAGGACGAAGGCTAATGAAGAAGAGGTCCCAGTGCCAGTAACACTCTATGCAAAAAAGCTTCCATTGATTGTTTGACTGTTCTGTTCACACAATTCTTGGAAATATCACCTTATCTAGTCAAAAATCACTTATTAATTCTCTGAATTAAGCATTTAAAAATCACGAACTATTTTGGTATCACATTAGGAATCTGAAGATGAAGATTTGTAAGGTCAGATAGTATAAGCAGCTACTCTTCTTTCCCAGCTACAGAATATGTTGGAATTGCAGAAAGATCAATTCAGAGCAAAATAAACATCCTGATTAATTTCCAAAGCAGGAACTAGGTGTGAAAAAATTTCTAAAATTGTCACATAAGTTTCAACACACAGACCTAAAAAGGAAATAAATATGAGCTCCACCTTAGGCCTTTATTTAACTCACAGCACACAAGGGAGATTTGATAAAATCTCACTGAGACAGATGTAACAAGGTAAAGGTGGGCTGAGTAAGACATGTGAAATTATGAAATTAAAAAAAATTCTGAACAGAAATCAGTTTAGAATTACAGTAACAACCTAGGCATTCTTTTTAAACTGACTAGAAACATCTTTGTAAAAGGTTCTCTTTGTCACTAATTTGCTTACTGAATGTTTCTTTCACAGATAATGCAAAGGCAGACTTCAGCTATTGCAATTCTTATCTATGGAGACTGTACTGTGCCCAGGAGTAAAACTCCTAAGGCCTTTGCAGACAACAGAAAGAACAGGGTTCTTCATATGGTAGTTATGTAGTGCAGACAATGACTAATATTTCTGGCTAATCCCCAACAGAAGAGATTAAGGAGGAATATGTTGCTTATGACATCCTAGGACATAACAGAGAGGACTTCCGTGATCCTCAGTAAACTGACTTACATGTCAGTGAAGAGAGCTGGAGAGTCGGGCCGGTGGGACTGAACATCTTGCATGGCATTCCATTCATTCACTGATGATTGATCTGAGTTGATATGGCTCTCATAATAACTCACCCAGGTGAGAAACAGGCTGCCTGGGTAGTAGTTATGCATTCTGGCCACTTCACAAGCCTTGTGTAAACTCTGTAGTGCAGACCTGAAAGATACGCAGGGAAATGAGCACTGTAGAATTATGGGGTCCCCAAAGGCCAGTAATCCACATGACCCCAAACTGTTTCAATTTTTAAATCCTACAGAATTCGGCCTCTGGAGAATCTATTCCTTGGAATTCAAGATTCTCTGATTCTGATTTTAGTATATTATTTATTCAAAGCAATCAAATAGTTCTTTCTGAAAGAGACGAGGCATCATTAAGGTGGGGATAGAGGAGAATAGGAACTGACAACCCAAGAGTGAAAAATAGGTCCGAGTACCTATTGAACTCATGACTCCACAGCTGGAAGCACACTGTGGCTATGCTATATCACCAGAGAACTACAGATCGCAACCATTTACTATATAAAGATTTGTTTCCCTTGGCACAGAATTATGTTACAGCATACATTTCCTATGATTCTTGGAGGCTCCACAAAGATCACATAGACAGATGTCCCTAAGCCTTGAGGACATGTCTTTTAATGTCCAGGAAGTACTGATCTAATGATATTTAAAATTCTTGCTGCCTTAGTCTCCCAGTTTCTTTAAACCATTTATTCATACACTTGAGCCACCTTCTAAGAACAGCTCTGGTTATTCTTTTTTTTTTTTCTAGATTCTATCATTCATAAGTTATTCTTATACTAATTAAATCTCTGACTCTCAATTCAGGAACCCAAGAAGGGTAAACAAACCTGAAATGTACCTTTTGGTTATACACCTGGGAAAAGCCAAAGACAGAAATGCTAGAAAGTTAGTTACACAAGAGCAGGGATCTAAAGTCCCTCCTAACAGAAAAGAACAGTATGAGAGAATTTTGTGGCCAATTCATTTACATCTTTTTCTTAAGAATGCTTTTTTATTTATTTTTTCTCTCATAACAAAAGTAATCCATGCTCACTTTAGAAAATTTAGGGACCTGTGGTAAAAGGCAGAAATTTATGGCTAGTTAAGACATTTCACTTAACAAGTACTAACTGTACTCCAACTATGAACCAGGCATTCTTTTAGGCAATGTGATCCAGCTGCCCAGAAATAACCAGTGGTAAGGTTTTAGATCTTCACAGTCTTTGTCTATGCATAGATCTATAATAAATATATGACCATATTCTGGATACTACTCTAACGTGTTCTTTTCTTTGACACTTCGTCATCAATGTCTTTCCATATCAATTAATATCCTTAACTAGATAATTTTTTATGGTTATGTACTTAGTAACATGAATATATCATAATTTAATTTCTATTTTTCAGACATTTAAATTGTTTTCTATTTTTCACTATTATTGGAACACTGACAAACATTCTTATAGTTAATATTTTTGCACACACCCATGACTATTATCTTAGGATAAATTCTTAGAAACAGAATTACTAGGTCAAAGGGCATGGGAAATAATAAGGCATATTGGCAAATCATTCTAGAAAAAGGTTGTGGTAGTTTATTCTCCCATCAATAGTATATAACAATGTCTGTTCCATGAGTCCTTGTCAACTCTGTGAAATGTAAATTAAAAAATAATACCATTATCAATTTGACATGGAAAAACCATGCCAGTCCATTTCTATCAGGGAAACAGAATTTTCCTTAAAAATACTTTTATGATTCAAAGTAAGTCAGATTCTCAGGGAATTAAGTCAAATTCAGAGAATTCTCAGTGAATTTCATTTTATTACATAGAATCAAAGGTAAGGGCCAGCTTAGTGCAATGTATAGGATATTCAGTATATGTTTCCTTCATTAGGGAAATACATGTTTCAAAAGCATATGCCACATGCCCTAAAATACACTCAAGGCTTAGCCACCTCAGATCTTTCAGCTGCCTGACAGTAGTGGGAGGCTGCGGTAAGTATAGTCCTATGAAGGAAACCCTTGGTTTAAATGGTGCTTTGGAGCCCTGGCTGGAGTAGCTCAGTGGATTGAGCGCAGGTCTTCGAACCAGAGGATCACGGTTCTATTCCCAGTCAGGGCACATGCATGGGTTGCAGGCTAGTTCCCAGCAGGGGGCGCACTAGAGGCAACCATACATTGATGTTTCCCTCTCTCCTTCCCTTCCCCTCTAAAGATAAATAAATAAATAAGTAAATATAAAAAATTAAAAAAAAAATTCTGCTTTGGTCCATACATCTTCTGCGACTTTCAGTTCAGTTCACTTCTCTCCATGTGGTACACCAAAGAAAGTTTATTCTGCAACTAGCTAACAGAGCCAGGACTAGTCAGTCTACTTTAGAACATCAAAGCTTGAACTAAGGTTATTACTGAATCTTCACTGTTTTAAGAATTTAGACTGGTTTATACTTCTCCCTAAATTATAACTGAAAACACTGTCACTTATGGGACCTATGCTGTTTGGTTTTACTTGGTACCTGGCGACAGGTCAGTTGCCTTTAACTGAGCCTTAGTCAAAGGCAGTCATAAGTTTTCTATGAGATATTTATCTATGAAATATGCTCTAAATCTAAAAATTTGGTCTAACCACATGAACAGAAACTCTATCCTACCTCAATTACTGCATGAAATGTTAAAACTGTTAATTGTTCAGTTGACTCTGTTTGAGAACCTCACCCACTTCATGCCTCTCAATCCTGTTATTCAGGGGTAAATTATCTCCCTGGAGTCTTTTTCAGGCTCCTTTATTTCTTGTTTGGCTTGTGTTCTCTCCATTGTGTTCCTCATGGGGATTTCTACTACAAAACAGGCAACTGAATGAGGAAATAAAACTCAAATCCCCAATCAGCGAACAGACATCATTCCCTGGTTATATTAGACCATTTTTCTATATAACCTAGAAAAAAAGAGTAAGAGTCTATTTTGTCTAAATATGAGAGATACTTGAAGACCAGTTATGCAACTTCTCTAAAACCTCAGTTTTCTCATCCATAACAAGGAGCAAATAATACCTGCTGGGGAGTTGGTATAATGATCTGATATAATTCATATAAATAAAGCACTAGGCACAATGCCTGACACACAGAATAAGTAACCCAAAAGTGTCAATGCACCAGCTGATGGTCATTAACAACTACAATGTTTTTTTCTAGACTTTAGTTGTACTATGCAAACTATCTGGCAAACAGTTGCCAGCAATTTAAATGGAAGAATCTACCTTAAAGTAAATTCATTAGAGCCATCCCTGATTATCTTAATAAATTGAAAGCTAAATGCATAGTAGTAGTGTGATGTTTAGACTTGCCTCTAGATTGATACTAACTTAGTCAGTGTATCCCTATAAAATGCACTTCCAACTGGCTATCTAATCTATTGTATCTTCCAGTGTAAGCTCACCTCTGAATTTTACTTGTTCACCAATGCTCAGGGCCTTCTACCGTGATAATAAGAAAATTAAACTTCTAAGTCATATTTAACTATGATAGCCACACAAACAGATCACACTTAGTCTATACACACAGATCAGCATTTTTTGTAGAGAACTGTACTATTTCAAATACTACTTCTGACTAAATATTGCTCCAATAACATATTTAAAAACCTTAAATATTAGAGATATTTAAGAGATATTACAAGTCTTCTTACCACATTGCCTGCACAGATACAGGTTTGAATATGTGAACTCTGTTGTCCGTTGATACGCTGAACCCACTAAGGAAAAAAGAGTAAGACAACAACACACAAATGAGAGTGGGTTATTTCAGTTGTGAGTTTTCAAGGTTCTTTCCCAGGCTAGTTAACTACTGGCTCAGTAGAAGGACTCTCAGGCACTTCATGCAGACATTAACTAGAGGACAGGACTTGGCTGAAAAGCTTCAACAAATTGTCTGATTTTATCTACTAAGCAGAATGAATGGACTCCCACACTGGAGTTAGGGAATCATAATACATCCAGTTCTCCAGGTGTAGCTACGGACAAGCTGTTCTGCTGTATAATTTCTATTTGGAAGTCTTGTGGGTTCATAGCAAACCTGACCTTGGTTTTATAAACTGGAGCAAACATCTTGGTCTCTTTGGGACACATTCTAAAAACACCAGGGGTGGGGATGGAGGGTCACTAGAAGAAACTGGCACAGAAAAGGGGTTATACTGTAGGCTGACAGCTGGCAGAGGCAGCAAGAGATTATTTGAAACAGAACATATCATCCTCTGGGAGAGCATTGCAACAGTCCCACATGTTCAGTTTAAAGAGTGAGCCAACAAACTAGTTCCTCTTTGTCTGGATTCTTACCATAGTCGGCCTAGAAGAACAGAAGTGAGAGGCCTTGGCAAGTTGCATGTTCACTCCACTTTACAAAACAGAGTTTAAAAGAACTCATTGAGCTGCTGACATGACAGTTCAGTTGGGCTCAGTGGGCCTCCCATTCAGCTGAATGAATGAGCACTAAGATAGAACCCTACCTCTTGGCTTTCTGTAGAAAGATAAAAAGGGAAACCTCTTACCCATCACCATCCAAGTGAATTAGCGTGTCACTCCAGAGAGGCAAGACTAAGCCCATGGTACACGTGCTACTGCAAGACAAGAAACAGTCCTTAAGTTACTCTCTGTCATTCTAGGCAGCAGTTCTATTTATTAACTCTTCCAACACAAAAAATAAGCCTCTAAACTGATTCTATTCTAAGTGTTAGAGTAGAGAAATTTCTATATCACTATTAATCCAGGGTATGTGCTCAGAAGCTGTTTTAAACAGGTCCTGAAGTATTTAAGGACTTAGCTCTCTGTGTTGCTGTCTTGCAAATGGCTACAGTCTGTAAAATCCAGGTGATTTGAAATTGGCAGGTCTTAGCCCAAAGTCATAGTAACCAACTCAACTTCAAGAATTATTTTTTATGTATAAAAATAGACAATACTTTCACATAGTTCAAAAATCAAAATACTATAAAAAAGTATACATTTATACTTTAGGTTTACTGAGGTTTATACTGAGGTTTACATAGACTTATTGAACCCCGGAATACACTCAATAGTTTGGGAAAAGGAATGAAAATATGAAAAAAAAGTAATCGATAATGGCTTGTGACACGTTAAGAGAGACAAGACACACAACTCAAATACAGCACTGCTTGGTGACTGAGCACTGAACTAGCACTGCTGAAATGGACAGTGAATAGGAATGTCAACAATCAACGAAAGGGTAGCCCTATATGGTGTATTAAAATATTATTTAAATCATACAAGGAGGAAACTAAATTAATGGTAGAGGTGGAAAAAGGAAGCTATGGACTCCCTGTTGCATGCTGTATCACATTGCTTCTCTGGACAGCTGTAATCCACCCCAGACCCCGCTACATTTTCTCCTTAAGACTGCCATACACCATTTCCCCCCTCTATCTAGTCTCCCAAAGGCTCCTATATCCTCTCGCTGCCAATGCATCTAGAAGAGCAGCAGGTATAGTAGAAAGAACCTTGGAAGTGGGAGGCAGAACAGCAAAGTACAGTTAAGAACACAGGCTCTGGAGTCAGATGAGTTCTGGAACCTGAGGTCTTGTACTAACTGTATAAATAATCTTAGGCAAATTATTTGATTGCTTTGTGCACCAGATTCCTCATCTATATTGGGCTGTTTTAAACACTAAGTTAAAAATGTGTCAAAACTACTACTTATGGAGCAGTTATGCCATGCCAAAAGATCTGGATCTGTTCTCCTTCAGTACTTCAATTCCTTCTGACAAGTTTTTTTAACCTCTCTCAGCCTTAATTTCTTCATTTTAATATGCAGGTAACAAAACCTACCATCATAGGATTACCATGAAAATCCAAAATATTTAAAGTGAAACAATATATATTAATTTACTGATATGTAGAACAAATATTGACTGTGAATCTGTACTGGGTGCTCTAATATGACTGAAAGCGACTTTGTAGGAAGGGAAATATTGTGAGAATGTATTAAAAACAACATGAGGAATACCAAGCTTTAACTTTTAGAGTCACTGAAGGGCTAATGAAGGCCATACCCTACTTGAGCTGTGTCTAATGATTTCCACTGCACTTGCTGGCCTGTGTTACTCAACACTCCACCAGTTTTTCCAGAGTTCAGATGATTCAAATCAAGACCGAAACAGCTTACCCACACTGGAACCCTAGGCCTGAACTCCAGATGCACATTTGTCCTGCCAGAGTTCAGGAGGGAAGAAGACAGCTCACCACTGTTTTTGTTGAGTAGAGGAGTACAATGAAAATTTGTTTTGAAAATCAAATCACTTCCTAAGGTGGAGTGCAATTAGTTTTAGTTTTTTGTTTTATTTTGGCTAAGTGTTTAGTCAGGTTCCTAGCAACAACTGCAATTTGGGTATAAATATGAAGGGTTGATAACCTACTGATAAATCTAGAAGTTAAACAACTACAGAAGATACAGAAGGTGAACTTGTGACCAGACACCAGTTAAATTTTGGACAGATGACACTGATACATAGAAATCACACATCACATTTTCAGTTTGTATTTAGGTTGGAATTTTTTTTTACAGTAAGAAATAACTTTTTTACACAACAGGTAAGGGAGGCACACCAATATTTTTATATAGTTTATTTTGAATCTTATCAGATTTTCTCCATTATAGTTACTTATTTTATTACTCACCCATTTAATAAGTATTTATTGATTGCCTACATGTACCAAATGGTTCAAGGTTTTGGGGGGGGTACAAAGAAAAATAACGAAACAACACCATAAAGCCTTATTATTTCATAACTTGAAATATACCCAATGAAATTTGGAAACCAAGGTTATGCTGTGTATTAAAAACTGTATTATTTAAAATAAAACACAACACTCAAAGAACTTGTAAACAGGTTAAATGAACTGCTATAACATATCTTGGAAACTACCTGGGAAGAATATGTCATAAGCAATGTGTTCTACTTTGGTTTAATACTGTTCTAAAACATTAACTTTTTCTATTGTCCGATACAAAATGATACAAATTCCTTCAACATCGACTGAGGTAAAAATGATACTAGATTCCCTGAGCACCATTTTATCTCAAGTAAGCACGATTTCTCTCAACATCCAAGAAGCTCATACAAACATAGGATATATTTTCAAGTATATTTTATTGATTATGCTATTACAGTTGTCCCATTTTTTTCCTCCCCTTCATTGCCCTCTGCCCTGTACTCCCCTCTCATCAGCATTCTCCCCACCTCTTAGTTCATGTCCATGGATCATACATGTAAGTTCTTTGGCTTCTCCATTTCCTACACTATCCTTAACTCCCCGTCTATTTTGTGCCTACCTATTATGCTTCTTATTCCCTGTACCTTTTCTCCCATTCTCCCCCCTCACTAATAACCCCCCATATGATCTCCAGTTCTGTGATTCTGTTTCTGCTCTAGTTGTTTGCTTAGTTTGTTTTTTGGTTCAGTTGTTGATAATTGTTGAGTTTGTCGTCATTTTACTGTTCAAAGTTTTTACCTTCTTCTTTTTCTTAGACAAGTCTCTTTAACATTTCATATAATAAGGGCTTGGTGATGATGAACTCCTTCAGCTTTATCTTGTCTGGGAAGCACTTTACTTGCCCTTCCATTCTAAATGACAGCTTTGCTGGATAGAGTAATCTTGGATGTAGGTCCTTGCCTTTCATAACTTGGAATACTTCTTTCCAGCCCGTTCTTGCCTGTAAGGTTTCCTTTGAGAAATCAGCTGTCAGTCTGATGGGAACTCCTTTGTAGGTAACTGTCTCCTTTTCTTTTGCTGCTTTTAAGATTCCCTCCTTGTCTTTAATCTTGGGTAATGTAATTATGACGTGCCTTGGTGTGTTCCTCCTGGGGGGTCCAACTTCTTTGGGACTCTCTGAGCTTCCTGGACTTCCTGGAAGTCTATTTCCTTGGCCAGATTGGGGAAGTTCTCCTTCATTATTTCTTCAAATAAGTTTTCCATTTCTCGCCCTTCCCCTTCTCCCTTTCACACCCCTATGATTCGAAGGTTGGAACATTTAAAGTTGTCTTGGAGGTTCCTAAGCCTCTCCTCATTTTAAAAAATTCTTGTCTTTTCACTCTGTTCTGGTTGAATGTTTATTTCTTCCTTCTGGTCAAAACGATTGAGTCCCAGTTTCCTTCCCTTCACTGTTGGTTCCCTGTATGTTTTTCTTTATTTCACTTTGCATAGCCTTCACTCTTTCCTCTATTTTACCAACATACTCAACCATTTCTGTGAGCATACAGATTACCAGTGTTTTCAACTGTGCTGCCACCTCAACACCCACAAGATTTTACAACCAGAGGTTTTGAGGCTTTCTTTTCCCTTGCTGGAACCCTGGGTTCCCTCATCTGCCTTGCTCCCCAGTTGTTCCTCCTGGTTTATCTGCATGGAAATGCCATGAATCCTCTCTGCTCCACTACATATCTCTGCCCCTCCTACTGGTCTGGATGAATGTTTTTTAAATTCTTTGGTTGTCAGACTTCCGTACAATTTGATTTTCTGGCAGTTCTGGTTGTTTTTTGTTTTCAAATTTGTTATTCTTCTTTTGGTTGTGCGAGGAGGCAAAGTGTATCTACCCATTCCTACATTTTGATATATGGGAATTCGTAATATCAAGTTTACCAAACAGAATAAAAACTAGTTTCTATAGCTTTTCATATCACATTTTGTCTTCCATAAACAAGCCTTTTTTGCTAGGTATGATTCAGGCAGGCCTATTACTGAAGATAGATGCAGTTCACTGAGGATAAATTACTGGGCACCCACATTAATAAGGAGTCTTTATGATTTCTGGGAATGTTTAAGACAAATTAAGAGAGATAAGATTAGACATCTGATTGCTCACTCTCTGGGTCAGGAGAGTCTGAAGTTATCTTCTTCTTTCTCTAGGGGAAGACTCAAATGAAGTTTCCAAGCTGCCCAGTTCCATTTTTTATGGGGGTTCCAAAGAAGGAGTTAGGATGAATGAAGCAAATGAAATAAGATCTAGAGCAGTGCTGTCTAACTGAACTTTCTGCAATGATGGAAATGTTCTCTAAGCATAATGTCTAGTATGGTAGCCACATATAGCTGGGGTACTTGAAATGTGGCTAGTTGTAACTGAAGACTAAAATTTTAATTTTATTTCATTTTAATGTATGTAAATAGTCACATATAGTTTAGTGGCTACCGTACCAGACAGTACAGACCTAGAGATATAAAAACCCAAATCACAGGTCTTAAAATACTAATGAATGTAAGCAAGGTAGGTGTTCTTACAGGATACATGTTTGTTTACTGAAAGGTTTGTTGCTTAGATACATCAGAGGTTAAAACCATGCAGGAGGAACAGCTTCCTAAATGTGGCTTACAAGCTTGTGTAATTTCAGATCATATAATTAAGGGCTGTAAGTGGTATACGAGGTAACAGCTCTGGCCCTGTGGTCCTTGTGAACATGCAAATAATTTTCAAGTTGACTGCTGTATACAAGCTCAGGTAAATACTAGCTTGGGAAACTTTCTTGTGACAGTGTGACCCCCCCACCCCACTCCCACATCAGGACAAATAGAATCACTCTCAGTCTCTTCTCTTTGTGGCTAAATTCTTCCAGACCTGGGTCACACCCCTAGCTCTCTACTCCACTGTTCCATTCTAGTGCTGAGCCAGGAAGTCAGTGCTTTGAGACATCTGGCAGGATTTCCTGAGGCTTATTATCTACAATGCAGAGATCTGCTTAGCAGCCACATTCCACAGACTTCCCAAGGTTTCCCCCGAAAAAGTGGGAAAATAAAAGGAGAGCAACAAACCTCAGGGACAAAATAAAGCCAGGTTTTGTGTGATGTCTGATATCCTTAATCATAGGATGTAAAGTGCCACTAAAACCAAAGGCACGTGATTATAAAAGTTTCTGTTTTGAGTTTAAAGAAAAGGAAAGCAAAACATTTGATAAAAGCAAGGTGTAAGACCATGGATAAATACAAGAGACTGGAGTTAAAGTGGGTTCTTTTTGAATCCAGGACCCACTGGTGCAGTATCACAAAGGGCATGTGACCTGGAATCATCAAAGTGAATCATTACTGCTTAAAATAAAGTCGATTGCAAAGAACAGGCAGCTTTCCCAACCTCCACCCCCCCGGAGATATAAGTTTAAACCATATCCTTTATATCATCACCACTTAAAGATGAGAGGAAGGTAAGAAATAGTGTATATCAGAAACATACTACTAAGGATATTCATTAAATATTTTCATCTCTGAACATTGTGTAACTAAGATATTTTTGTGATTTCTAGTTTTAGGTATTTAGCTTTAAGAGTAGAACTGTATAAGATGTTTTTGTGATAATTCAAAAGGCAAATGGAATAGGTTACTTAAAAAGGAATCTTCTCATCCTCTCTTTTGTGGTAGCATACCTGTCATTAGAGGAGAAATCCATTCCCAGAACGATGCTTTCTTCAGTGTCTTGTCTACCGTTAGTTGAGACCACTACCATATAGCGTGTTCGATTCTGGTAAGTACTTTCTAGTCTTACAGCCTGAAGGTTAACAGACAACAGAGAAATTAAGAAAATTAAAAGGTCAGTTTTAGATCATTTCATCCTTTTTACATCAGCATCATAAGGCATACTCAGTGTGACAATACAGCCAGTAGTTAGAAGACCTACATTCAAATCTGAGCTCATGTATTGACTGTAAAAACTTTAGAAGTATGACCTGACTGGTATGGCTCAGTGGGCTGGGCGCCAACCTGTTTGATTCCTGTTTGGGGCATATGCCTGAGTTGTGGGCCAGGCCAGTCTCCCGGTTTGAGGTGTGGGAGAGGCAACTGATTGATGTTTCTCTCTTATATCAATGTTTCTCTCCCTCTTTTTTCACCCTCCACGTCTCTCTAAAAATAAATAAATAAAATCTTTTTAAAAAAACCTATAAGAGTTGCTAAAGTAATTGGAGGGAAGTATAATACCTATTCCATTGGGATAATACCTATTCCATTGGGTTGTAAATTCATATAAAATAATGCATGTAGAGCACAGTGCTTGGCATACAGTAAACAAATGCTTAATAAATATTTGTGATTAGCACAATACTTATAATAATAGCAATTACCAGGTCATGTTCTAAAGATCAAGGAGGGAATTGTGAGGTTGTATGAACGGGAGCATTACACTCACAGACCCGAGTCCCATAAACAATTATAATAACAAAGCAAACATTACCTTAGAGAAGTTACTCTATTGAATTCTTACAGATCATATACTACAAAATTTTCTTTAGTTTCAATTACAATTGAAGAAATAACTTTTAGAAGCTTATATTACATATAGGCAATGGAATATTATTGAGCACTAAAAAGAAATGAGCTATCAAGTCATGAAAAGACATGGAGGAACCTGAAATGCATTATTACTAAGTGGAAGAAGCCAATCTGAAGAGGCTAGATAGTCTATGAGTCCAACTATATCACCTTCTGGAAAAGCAAAACTATAGAGTCAGTAAAATTAGTTTTCAGGGGTTAAGGGAGCACAGAGGATTTTTAGGTCAGTAGAACTGCTCTGTTTACTACTGAAGAGTTGAATACATGTCATTATTAAAACCCATGCAAGGTACAACATCAAGAGTAGACCCTAATGTAAACTATAGACTTTGAGTCGATAATGATGTGTCTACGTAGGTCTACCAATTGTAACAAATGTGTAATCCTGGTGGGATGGAGATAATGGGGGGAGACGATACCTGAGAGGGGATAGAAAGTATATAGGAAATCTCTGTACAGTAACCCCTCACTTAACACAAACAGGTTCTGCAACTTTAAGCAAAAGAACATATAATGAAACCAATTTTGCCATAGGCTAATTGATAGAAAAAAGTTATAAAAAAACAAGGTTGAAAAAACATTATTTGAGGACATGCTGTACCTTCTGCTCAATTCTTCTGTGAACCTAAAATCACTCTAAAGAATAAAGCTTATTTAAAAAATTTTGCTTAGTGGATAGATCTTATGTTAAGTGTTTTCTCTAATTATCATCATCATCACCACAGGACAGGATTAGAGGAAGCTTTTGGAGGTAATGGATATTTATGGCATAGATCGTAGTAATGGTTTCATGGGTATCTACTTATATCCCAACTCATCAAGTTGTATATATCAAATATGCACAACTTTTTGTATGTCATTATACATCAATAAAGTGGTTTAAAAAATATCCCACCAGCAGTAACAACAAAAAGAGGGGATAGATGGAGAAAATCTGGCAAAATGTACATGGTTATTCAACTATCAAAAAAAAGTGATGGGTAATGGGTTCATGAGGATATATTTTGTATTTTATATATTTGGGACTTTTCTTAATAAGAAATTTTAAAAGTTTAAAAAAAAATCCTCACCTGAGGACACTTTTTCATTGTTTTTAAAAAGGGAAAGGGAGGGAAGGGGATAAAGGAGAAGAGAGAGAAAGGAAAAGGGAAGCATCAGTGTGAGAGAAACATTGACTGGCTGCCTTCTTGTATATGCCCCAGACTGGGAATTGAACTTGTGATCCTTCTGTCTACTGGATGACATTCCAATCAACTGAGCCACACCAGCCAGGGTAAATAAATAAATAAATAAATAAATAAATAAATGTAAAGTGGTATGGTTTCCACTCAACATTCATTCAAATATTTATTATACATTTACTGTGTATACAATCAGAGCAGAAGTGCTGAGGATTCAAGAGTGGAAGAGAAATATGGTCCCTGCCTCAGAGTGTATAGTTTAGTTCATTCTTCTTTTTCTCTATTAACAAAAAGGCAGGAAAATATATATACAAGCAATTTCTTCTGTATAAAAAAACCCCCACCACCATTCCTTCTCTCAGACAAGAAACATTTCCAAACTCATCAACTGGCTCAAGACATCTGTCAGAAATTTGACAGACATTTCTGTTTGGAATTATTTTTTAATTTTTTAAAAATTTATTTATTTTTAGAGAGGGGAAGGGAGGTATAAAGAGAGGAAGAGAAACATCAATGTGTTGTTGCCTCCCGTGTGTCCCCTATTGGGGACCTGGCCCGCAACTTAGGCATATGTCCTGACTGAGAATCGAACCAGCGACCCCTTGTTTCACAGGCTGGTGCTCAATACACTGAGCCACACCAGCTAAGGATGTTTGAAATTCTTTTAGTACTTCTCTTCCTGGGATCCCCTTCCCCTAATGTGATCATTATTCTATAAATGGCCAGGCAGAGAGGAAAAGAGACAAGTTACACAGCTCATATAAACCATTTATCTAGGTAGAGGTAAGATATCCATGCCTATCTTTCTGTCTCTATTCTGATACTCCTAGGAAAAGCCAGGGAAGCAAAAACAGCAGAAGTGGCTACATTAAAGCTTATTTCTAATAAGAGGTAATATAAGAAGAATGTCATGTCCACATACTGATTCCAAGCACATAAGGTGGAAAGTTGCACAGGCAGTTTTATGTTCCATGAAGTAACAGAGCATTTCCACCTAAATTCACTAAGAGGAACTAATATTCAAGTGGATGAGGGTCTAGCTGTAGTGGGCTCGACCAAGTGAGCATTATACACATAGAGCTATGGATAGGAGTCCATGCACAGGAGGTGGAGGCAGCACTGACCCTCTCATTCCAGAAATGCTCCATGAAATATTAGACTAACCAGAAAGCCCATGCAGGTAAACCAGAATTTCTTATAAACAAGATCTCAGATAGTATTATGTATCTAAGCTCAGGCTTGCCTTGGCAAATTTTGAGCCAATTATTCAGTTTCCTGAATATGTCAGAGGTTCTTTTATCTTCTGTAAAGGCTCTTGAGAATTTCTGGCAAGGTTCAAATACAAGTGGCATGGAAACAACTGAACTGTAGGTCTGTAATTTATCCACAGCTTCTACACCAACTAGTGGCAACTGACTGGTTAACTGAAGCTGATAAAAGGAAAGAAAACGACTTCTGTAAGTACTACCTTAAGTGTCATGCAAGTTATTAGGTCAAATTAGCAGGTGGGCAACAAGAGTCTCTTTGCAATATTCAGTGCAAACACTAGTTGTCACCTTTTAAAAAGGGTGGTGTGTGTATTTAATCTGTCTATATCTATCTATCTATAATAATCATAAGCATTTTAAAAATTTGAAGAACAAGTATGAAAGACACAGGGATGAGGTCTGTGGGGGGGGGATGGGAGGGAGGTGGGGAGACAGGGCGGAGGGGGGTGGGATGGGAGAAATTGACAAAAGAAAACTGTACTTGAAAAATAACTCAATAAATTAAAAAAATTTTTTGACTCTCTGATTAATTTAAATTTAATCTCAACAGATCATCTCAAACCTAATGGGAAAGGTCCTGGTTATCTCATTGACTTAAGATGAAGTAATCAGACATCTCAGATTCAATGAATTTTAAGCTTCTTAAATGAAAGAATAGTACTTAAAGGTTTGAGATTTGATCATGAACCTCTAGATAGTACCTGTAGTAATTACTAAATTCTTACCAATGGGGAAATGGAACTTTATTTAATCAGGGAGTCAGGAGCTATAACGTTAGTTCAACTCCTACATTGTAATTAGAATAATAATTTTTTTTACAAAAAAATTCTGCAATGCCGGGTGATTGACCTCAAGCTCCAAAATTCCTTTTAAGCATCAAGATTCTAGGTTAAGGAATTAAACAAAAATTTAAGGGCCACAGCATAAAGAAAAACCAAATACTCATTCTGAAGTTTGAGGTTCATTTCATACTTCTCTGTTGGGGAGAAGCTTAACAAAATCTAATTACCTAATTTAATTCATCAAGCCAATCAGAGAAATGTAGCTGAAAGTGGTAGTTTATAATATATAATACCCTAATATTAGAATTGGCAGCAATTCCAATGTTCCTAGTCTCCAGAACTTACATGGAATAAGTGACTGGAAATAAGGCAAGGATTCAGATGCATTTAACTGAAGTTCTCATTGAAAAAGATACTGCAGTTTATTTTCATTGTCCATATAAAACAATATTTTAGATTTTAAAACTTGGCAGCAATAGCAACTCGGAAATTAATCCAAGAAAGTCCATTTTCTGCCTAAACTTGAAATTCTATTAAAAGTTTCAGGTGAACTGGATCCAGCAATCCTAGGACTGAGGTAGGTCTGAGAAGTCACCTCCTGCCTTTGCTTTATTTCTGAGGTAAGAACCCAACTGTTTCTAAAATTTAAAATATCTACCAAAGAGTGATGTTGAAGCTTCCCTCAGTAACTAATTTAAATGTGTCTGATCACGAGAGTCCACAAATACCATCTGGTCCAATGACTTCTCTCCTCAGCATCACCCAACATCACCCAACTCTTCTCCAAGCTCACACTGTACCTTTGCCTTTAATTTTTTCCACCGAGAGCCTAACATCATGTGTCTGCATGCAATGTTTATCCGCAGGGAAGCCACAGCATAAAGTCCCAATGTCTAGACAGGCAGCTCACCCAATCCATCAGAGAAAGGTTTCAAAAATATGTAAATATTATATTCCAGTTGAAAGAACAAAGTAATGTCAATAATCGAAAATTAAAAGAGACTTCATGTGACATGAATAAACTAAAAACACTATCTTCAAAAAATAAAAAATAAAGCTTGAGGGAGCCTCTGGATTTTATCTTTTTTTATTCTATCGTTATGAAATTCTTGAATAAAAAACCCTGACATATTCTGTGTAGCCATTTAAAAAGTTTTATTTACTAATATGGAAAAATATTCATGATCAAATGTGAAGAAAGGTTATAAACAGCACTCATATTTTCATCTCATTCTTGTGTAAAAAAAATCACTCTGATGGATATTTTTGCTTAGTACTTACCCTTTTTTTATACATCCTCTCCCCAATCCATTCATCCATTGATAAGTCCTCAGTTATCCACTGTCACCTTTATAAACACTGTCCCCCAGACATAAACCCTTATTGCTTTAAATTACTTTACACTTTTGCTTCTCAGAGCTACTGAGATCATGCTTTAGGTAGATGGGAAGGTTCTGATGCTCAGACTCGGTTATTTTCACCCCTGTCCACATAGATAAGAGCAGATCTCAGAGAACCTGATGCGTACATTTGCTTACACACATGCACAACTAGAGGACTACTTATCCCAGTGGCTAAGGGTGTTTTTTCAGAGTGCAGGACACGAAGTGATTTTTATTTTTTTTTATGCCTTTCTGCATTGTCTGATTAAAGAAAACCATAACATGTGTAAACCCATTTAAACCCATAAATAAACCCATTTTCTGTTTGGAAAAAATTAATATATTATAAAAAAACATACATTTTATTTTCTTAAACTCTCTAGCAAGGTACTCAAAAACACTTCCTCATACCTTATTAGCACCTCAGTTCTAGTTAAGAACATTAGTTGATATTACTTCAAAGGTCAGGAAAGTCCTTAAACTCCCAGTCCATTTTTTATTAAATAAATGGGTCTTTGATAATGTGCAAGAGTACTATAAAACCACTGTCTTCACTGTACCAGCTATTGTTTTCCTAAGTACTAAAGTTAATTCTTGAGACTATTTTGAACACAGGGTTCTCTAAAGAAAAAATTGATTTAGTCCTATTTTTAATGCTGAAGCAAAATGTGAGATCTGGTAACTCTACTTGTTGAGTTATTAAAAAATTAAAGGCAGGACTTTCAGTTGACTATCAAACTTTTAACCTTATGACAAGCCCCAGAATGAGAGTTTTGGGATTCCAAATTTAACTCAAAACAAAAGGCTTTGCTTTGAGTCTACAAATGCTCCTTTCAGTTAGAAAAGTGCTAATTTGTCCAAAGCACACAATGTATTCACTCATTTTCTTGAAGATGACTCACACAATAATCTGAAACATAATGACTATGTGTTTGTAACAATTCAAACAACTGTAAAATGGCTTGTCATTTGAGCTCTGAATTAATTCAGAGGCATCGGTTATATTTTCTGAATTTATATTTTATAAATGTAAAGTAGCTGAAACTGTGTATTTTAGCAGGGAAAGAAAAAAATTTAATTGCCAATTCTACCTTCCTAATTGCTTCCATAACACTCTCCCATGTCTGTTGTGGTTTAAATTATTTTAATATTTAGAGGTGCAATCCAAACTCCACAGGTTATAAGTGAGAAAAAGATAAAGTGAGTGAGTGAGTGACAGACATCAGCTTCAGCTCTAGTAAACCACACAATTTTTGGAAACTACCAATAAATATCTACTGGACATATAGCATGTGCAAGGAACCATTATTATGGGTGTTAGAGGCATTGTTTTCAAGTGTGACTCCTGGACCAGCTACATCAGCATCACTTGGAAACTTGCTAAAAATGCAAATTATCACTGCCTCTCCCTCCCCAAATTAAACTCTCCAGGTGGAAGTCCAGCAGGTGGTAGCTTAACAATGCTGTGCAGGTGATTATTTTGAGATATTAATGCTGTAAGAACCACACCTCATTTTGTTCATTTATAAAGAAGTGCTTAAGTCAGAAATATGTCAAGAAATATAGATAAGATGTATATATATGTGTGTAATACTACTTTAGAATTAGAATATAAAATACTTTATGAAAGAATTTTAAAATTTCAATTCCTTTGAATTTCTAATTAAGTTGCTTAGTGGCAACGTCAAAGTGATAGAGGTAGCAATTTGAAGGGAAAAATGGCATAATTGAACCAAAAAAATAACCAAATGAATGAAGAATCAGTAATTACCAGAGGCCTGATATAAACTTTCTAGTCATTTTTATATTCTACTCATTATTTCTCTTCAGAGAAAAAGCAGGACCAAGTACTTGAATTTAACATGTCTATGGAAACCCAATTTCCAATCTACCCCCGTAGCCTAGAAGGGTTCATCACCACACACCTGGATTATTGCAATAACTAACTGCCCAGCAGGCCTCCCTAATTTAAGATGGCTGCCTCCTCCTCTCTATTCTGTATCAGCTTCTGAGGAATTTTTCTTAAATACTATAGTTGACTCAGAAACCTGTAATGCTTCCCTACTGCTTCCTGAAGAGGCAGAGGTACTAATTCCAGGTATTAATCTAGAAGTTCAGATGCAGGGGTATCCAAGCTTTTCATGTTTCTGGGTCATACTGGAAGAAGAGTTGCCTTGGGCCACTTCTTGGGCCACGCATTAAATATACAAACACTAACAAAAACAAAACAATTTTAAAATGTTTTAAGTAAATTTACGATTCTGTGTTGGGCTGCATTCATAGTCATCTTGGGCCTCCTGTGGCCTGTGGGCTGCAGGTTGGACATCCCTGATAGGGAATATAAATGAGTGTAGTAGGCCACATGAATACTAAGTGTGTAGAAACACCTTTCACTTTCCACAAAGAAACATATTCATCACATTTTTATTTTCCCACTTTTATTAGATGTTCTACTCTAAGAAAAATAAGGGTAAAGGAATGATGACAAATGGTGACACCTGGCTTTAGTGTCCAGGAGAAAACAGGATATGGGGAGATGATGGTAAATTATGAACCTGGGCCAAATTATGAACCAATGCTCTCCCCTCCACCAATTTGGCATGTGAGAACAAGGCCCACTGTTGGCAGAACTTTTGGTTTTTGAAGAAAAGCACCAAGTCTGGATTTTTACATGAAATCACTCAAATTTAATTTTCTGGCTGAGATTAAACCACCCCCTAAAACAAACAAAAACAAAAACCAAAACCAAAACAAAAAACATTGTGATCCAAACAAAACACATCTTTAGCCTATGGATTTCAGTTTGAGACCTCTAGTTTGGAGCATGAAGTCCCTATCTGCCTGCCTTGTGTTCTGGTATCTTATTTTTTTCTATGGAAACAATAATCACCATATTTAGACAGCATTTTATACTCAGTATGCTTTCACATCCATTGATTCTCTACACTGTGAGAGGTAGAAAGGAGATGAAAAAGCAGGTGCAGACAGGCTAAGTAACTTGTCCAACATCAGGTAAGTAGTAAAAACCAAAGCCCGGGTCTCCCAACCGAGACCCGCACAAAGCCTTGGCCATTTCACTCTCACCTTGTCCCTTCCTATGTATGCTTTTGCTTCAATGGAGTCCTGTTCTAGAATGATGGTCTCCTTTCTTTCTGCCAATCTAAATCAAGACCCAGCTCAAGCTCTACCATTTACATAAATCTTCCTCAATGAGGTCAAGTTCCCAAGTTTTCTCTTTTTTGAACTTCAGTTGCTGTTATGGTCAGTAACTTACAAACTGGTGCTCACCAACAGTCTTGAACCATCAAGTTATTTCACATCACTTCACATTAGCTCATATCCTCAATTACATTCTAAGCTCTTTGATAATAGTGCCATGTCGCTGTTCTTTTCTGTTCCACAGAGTTCCTGGTATTATGTTGGGACATATAAATGACTGCACAAAGTTCGTTGTATTACACAGTCTTTTGAGAAAGATAGAGTTATAAGGCTACTACTAACTTACCAGCCTGATGTTGTCTTCTGGGCGGAGTAGTATGAACATTGCTTGGAGATGCTGCTGGAGATCACCTGGTAAATTTTATAAAACAAAAAAGTTATTCTCCACTGTTATATTGACAGAGAGAATTCTTTCTAATGGATTGACTTGTATAAAAGTAAGTTTTGGTTCACTGAAAGACTCTAATTAGAGAAATTGTCTTAATATGATTATTGATTTCTTTTTAAATGGAAAGACAGAACGTATAAGGGAATACCCTATACTCTCATTTTTAGTGTATACTGCAGTCACATTTGCGTTGTGTTTGTCCTATGGAAGGGACACTTGAAACCGATCTCAGTGTTGTGCCAAGACGATGAGGTCTGTTGGGCAGAGGCAGCACTAGCTGTGCTTTCAGGCCCACAGAAGGTACCAAAGGAGGAATCTTGCCTTTCTTATTTCTATAACTGTAATCTTCAGTTGCATTTAACCTAAGAAGATATTTAGATTCCCTGTAGAATAATGTTAACAGTTTTAAACAATTTCCAAATTAGTGGCTGATAGTAAAATAAAAGTACTTATTAAACACTGAAGATCCCAAGGAATATATATTTTACTGAACATATGAGGTGTTTTAAAATGGTCAACCATTATTTGAATCCTCACTTGTTCTTATATATTCTATAAAACAAAATAGAAATTTCTTTGCATTAAACGATTATAGATTTCCTCATATTCTCTATTTTGTACCAGGAAATTTGAGGCTTTAGATAGGAGACAATTAATGTGCTATCATAAATGAATACAATCAAAGACAAAAAGCCTTCATTCCTGCCCACCCAGGTCAAGCCCTTTCTTTAGTTTGAAGTGACTGATATATCCACCTAATCAGGGATGCCAGCGTAACCTATTTTCATATTGGTCTTGAAACCTACATGCATAATTTCCCTCCAGGTAACCTCATAAGTGTTAATTATAACATAAAATACGAGTATGTGCAAGTGTAGAAAGGCATGAAGAAAAACATGTAGGTTGGCAATCAGATGTGTTTATCTAAAGGGTTAGCAAGTCTTAAGGCCTTTCTTTTCTTCCCTTTCTTCTCTTAAAAAATAGTCTTCTTGCCTTCTTCCCACCCCATTTCACTGCTGCCTTCTGACCAATTCCATTAAAGCAGAATCTTTCAACTTGCAAAATTAAAAAGGAGAGTCATTATATTTGGCCATGTCCATTCTACTATATTTTAGATCCAGAGACATAAGTCTCATGTGCAAGAACAAGTGTGAGCTCATAGCTATAAAGCCAAGAAAAATGAAAACATAGTTGAACACAAAAACTTGTACACAAATGTTCACAGCGGCATTATTTATGAAATCCCCAAAACAAAACAACTCAAATTCCTATCAATTGATGAATAAATAAAATGTGGCACGTATAGTCACACACTGGAATATTATTTAGTCATAAAAAGGAATGAAGTACTGATACATACTATAACACAGATGACTCTTGAAAACATGTTGAGTGAAAGAAGCCTGTGTCAAAGATTGTTTGTTTATATGGTTCCATTTATATAAAAAACCCAGAATAGGCAAATCTATAGAGAGAAAGGGTAGATTTAGTGGTTGTTTAAGATGGGGAAGAAGGATAGGGGACATAGGGAAGGATGGCTAATGGGTACTGTGTTTCTTCTGGGGGGTGATAGAAATGTTCTAAAATTAGATTGTGGTGATGGTTGCACATCATTCTGTGAATATGCTAAATTCTGTGACTATACTAAATAACTGAATATATACTTTAAATGGGTAAATGATATGGTATGTAAATTATATCTCAATAAAGCTGTTAAAAATAGTGTGGGGGAAAAACAGTGTGGGACACAAAGTATTAGGTATACACAATGAAGGACTAGAATTGTAAGTTACAACTGAGTTAAGCAGCTGAAGTTTTGTTTTTTTCCTAATTCTCACTCAGTGATGATTTTATTGATTTTTAGAGAAAGAAGAAGGGAGAGAGAGGGAGGAAGGGGGAAAGACATCGATGTGAGACAAATGCTGATCGGATGCCTCCCTTACGCACCCCAACTGGGGACTGAACCTGCTACTTTTTGGTGCATGAGATAATGCTGATTAACTGAGCCATCTGGCCAGGGCAAGCAGCTGAGGGCTTTTAAAAATTAACTTTTCTTCTGTTCTCTCAGAACAAATAATCTGAGGAAAGGATTTTCATGATGAAGAACTTCTGTAGCAGAATCATTTTTGGGCAAATAGTAGCTCTAAGTCCGCACTGCAAGCACTACTAGCCCAAAGATGCAGCTGCTGTCTCTGAAGGACAGACAAAAGTCATTAAGCCCTCCACTGTAACAGACAGGCTTCTCATGTGAGCTGGTATGTGGAAGCTCAGGTCTGTCGGCTCTGAAAAGAAATACCATGACCAAATTGAGTATTTTCTACTGGGAAATCATTCTTCACAAAGACTGAGTGAGGCAATATACTGGTACCATAAGATCTCTTCCTTAGATTTTTCAAATATTTCTGTGATAAGAGTGAAATTTAGATTTCAATTTGATTTTAAAGACTTTTTGCTATTTCCCTTTAAAATGTTAGCAGACATATTCACCCATATCACTTTTGATTACAAAAATGCATTTGATATTTCAAATGAAGCCCAGATAAGAAATTCTAACTAGTTCAAAAAACATGCATAAGGAAGTACAATTAGACATAGTAAGCTTTTGATCTGTTCCCAATTCTGTCATCATCTTTCAGTCACTGAAAGCTCAGCCAAGGCAGTTACAGCTCATGTGAAGGTCTGGTTTTATAAGCTGCGTTTATACCCACACTGCCTCATCTGTTCTGGGCCGGATTACAAATCAAGCCCATTCAGTTTGTGTTAAATCTGCTTTTCTTTTTAGTATTGGGAAAGCTAAGTGAACAAGGTCAAGTAGAAACCTGGGTGGCAGGCCAGTGCGGAAGTCTGACCAAAGAAAATGGCCAACCAGTACCAGGGACTTTGAAAGCCACCAATTCCATTTCCTATTACATGTCACAGAGCAATCTGCCTACCATTTTAGTCAGACAAGCTGGATTTAAACCAATAATTTGTCTTCTTTTTAGTGTAAGTGATAAATATCCATACCAAACAGAAATACAAAGCTTAGCTGGTCTACTTCCTCTGTGCATTCAAGTTTTAGGGGGAAGTGCCCCTCCCCTCTGGTAGTGGGCATTGAAGAGGAATGTTTTAGAAAGTTAAGTTATAGCTAATTTTTCAAAAGAGTTCCTTGCCCCCTTACTCCTTTAAAAATTTTCCATGCAGCAGAATTGTGGTAGAAGGATTAATACTGTCCAATGAGATGAATTAAAATTTTGAGCTGCTATATTTGTAACTAGATGAAGTTCCAGATAAAAAGTAGGACAGCTACTAAAATAGCTCAGATTATCTGGACTGGAGCTAAACACAACTATTGGTTCAATGGGATACAGTATTTCTGGCTTTCATCTCTGACCTATACACTCAAGGTTTGTAGTCTTCTTTGTTCTTTTCCTAGTAATTCCAGTTTATTCTACTCCTGGAGGTAACACATTAAAGTGGAACATTTATAACAATAAGCAACTATTCTCTGTATAGCAATGATAAGGATTTCTTCAATTATTGTCCTCAGGTTGACTTTTATTCCCCTCCCCACCCCCAAATGACACAAACAAGACTTGTTGTTAGAAGACAGGCATGGGCTGATTACCTTCCTAGACCTAGAAACCACTTTCCCTAGACACACTTTCTCTGATTCTTTCTCACCTTTATCAGTACAATTATACCTATCTTTAGAGAAATACAACACATGGAAATACAAATGTATATACCACTATTAGCAGATGTGATATTGTGACTTATAAGAAATATGTATTTAGTCTTCTTCCTGTTCTTGGCATAGAGTTCCGAAAACCTTTGGAATTTCTGATGTTGAGGAGAGCAATAATGATATCTTGTTATGATCTTTAAATTTATTTTTTAAAATATATTCTGTTGATTAGGCTATTACAGATGTCCCAATTTTTTCTACTTTGCCCCCCTCCACCCAGTACCCCTTCCCTCCAGCAATCCCCCCACTTAGTTCACATCCATGGGTTGTGCATGTAAGTTCTTTGGCTTCTCCATTTTCTATACTATTCTTAATGTCCCCCTGTCTATTTTGTACCTACCAATTATACTTCTCAATCCCTGTACCTCGTCCCCCGTTCTCCCCCCTTCCCTTTCCCTTCCCTTCCATGTGACTTCCAGTTCTGTGATTCTGTTCCTGTTTTGGTTATTTGCTTAGTTTGTTTTTTTCAGATTTGGTTGTTGATAGTTGTGAATTTGTTATTTTAATGTTCATAGTTTTGATATTCTTCTTAAATAATCCCCTTTAATTTTCATGTAATAATGGTTTGGTGATGATGAATTCCTTTAGCTTTACCTTGTCTGGGAAGCACTTTATCTGCCCTTCCATTCTAAATGATAGCTCTGCTGGATAGTGTAATCCAGGTTGTAGGTCCTTGCTTTACATCACTTTGAATACCTCTTGCCAGTCCCTTCTTGCTGGTAAAGTTTCCTTTGAGAAGTCAGCTGACAGTCTTATGGGAACTCCTCTGTGGGTAACTGTCTCCTTTGCTCTTGCTGCTTTTAAGATTTCTCCTTATCTTTAATCTTGGGTAATGTAATTATGATGTGCCTTGGTGTGCTTCCTTGGGTCCAACTTCTTTGGGACTCTCTGAGCTTCCTGGATTTCCTGGAAGTCTATGTCCTTTGCCAGACTGGGGAAGTTCTCCTTCATTATTTGTTTAAATACATTTCCCATTTCTTACTCTTCTTTGTTTCCTTTTGGCACTCCTAAGATTGGGATGTTGGTATGTCTGGAGACGTTTCAGAGGGTCCTTATACTATCCGAGTTTTTTTTTTTAATTCTTTTTTCTTCTTGCTGTTCAGGCTGAATGCGTCTTCTTCCTTATGTTACAAATTGTTGATCTGAACCCCAGCTTCCTCCCCTCCAGTGATGGTTCCCTGTAGATTTTTCTTTATTTCACTTAGTGTAAACTTCATTTCTTCTCTTATGTTGTTGCAGCACTCAATGAGTTTGTTGAGCATCCTGCTCACCAGTTTTTTTAAAGCATTTTTAAATTTTAATTGATTATGCCATTACAGTTGTTCTATTTCCCCCTCCTTTATTCCCCTCTACCCTGAACCTCCCTCCCCCACCATTTCCCTCCTTTAGTTTATGACCATATGTCTCAAGTTCTTTAGATTCTATATTTCCCATACTATTCTTGCCCTCCCCCCTGTCTATTTTCTACCTACCGTCTATGCTACTTATTTTCTGTACCTTCTCCCCCCTTCTCCTCCTCCCACTTCCCTGTTGCTAACCCTCCATGTGATCTCCATTTCTATGGTTCTGCTCCTGATCTAGCTGTCCTCTTAGTTCGCTTTTCTTTTAGGTGCGGTTGTTAATAACTGTGAGTTTGCTGTCCTTTCACTGTTCATCTTTTTTATCTTCTTTTTCTTAGGAAAGTCCCTTTAACATTTCATATAATAAGGGCTTGGTGATGACAGACTCCTTGAATTTGACTTTATCTGAGAAGCACTTTATCTATCCTTCCATTCTAAATGAAAGCTTTGCTGGATAGAGCAATCTTGGTTGTAGGTCTTTGGATTTTATGACTTGGAATACTTCTTTCCAGTCCCTTACCTGTAAGATCTCTTTTGAGAAATCAGCTGACAGACTGATGGGAACTCCTTTATAGGTGACTGTCTCTTTATCTCTTGCCGATTCTAGGTAGGATTCTCTCCTTCATTTAAATCTTGGCTAATATAATGATGATGTGCCTTGGTGTGTTCCTTCTTGGTTCCAACTTCTTTGGGACTCTCTGAGCTTCCTGGATTTCCTGGAAGTCTATTTCCTTTGCCAGATTGGGGAAATTCTCCTTTATTATTTGTTCAAATAAGTTTTCCATTCGTGGCTGTTCCTCTTCCCCTTCTGGTACCCTTATAATTCGAATATTGGGGCATTTAAAGATGTCCTGGAGATTCCTGAACCTCTCATTTTTTTGAATTCTTGTTTCTTCATCCTTTTCTGTTTGGTCATTTTTTTCTTCCTTCTGGTCCACTCCCTTGATTTGAGTCCCAGTTTCCTTTCCATCACTATTGGTTTCCTGTGCATTTCCCTTCATTTCAACTAGTTTAGCCTTCATTTGTTCCTCTAATTTGTGGCTAAAATCAACCAGTTCTGTGAGCATCCTGATCACCAGTGTTTTGAACTGTGCATCTGAAAGCTTGGCTATTTCTTGGTGACTTAGAGTTATGGGCTGTGGAACTTTGAGTTCTTCTGGAGCCATGTTTTAGTCTGTTTGCGCCCCTTACGTCTGAGGAGCGGAACCTTAGTTGTTCACCAGGGCAGGGCCACCCAGGTTGCTGGGTTTTGACACTGTATGTAGGAGTGGGATCACAGAGGGGCAATGGCAGTCCCCTCTGCTGTTTCCTGCCACTAGGTCCTGCGTGGTCTATCTCAATGCTCACTCCTTGGCTGGTTTATCTGTGGGTGACTGTGTGACCTCAGTCAGCCTGCCGCCTTGCACCCTCACTGGGTCTGCCCGTAGCAACCGGGCACCTGGGATCCTCCAACCACTGCCTGTGTGCCTGGGTCGGTCTGGTCAAGTTTTCCTGCACAACCCTGCTTCGCCAGTCGCTGGCTCTGCTCCTCTTACCAGTCTGGTTGAAGGGTTTGTTGTTGTCAGACTTTCATATACAATTCTCTGTGTTTTGGCTGCGTTTTTTGTTACTAAAACTTTGTTGTCTTTAAACTTGGTTGTGCAAGAAGGTACAGTGTTTCCACCTACACCTCCATCTTGGCGGAAGTCCTTCTGCTCACTAGTGTTTTGATCTCTCCATCTGATAGGTTGGAGAGATCTGATAGGTTGGTTAACTCAATTTCGTTCCGTTCTTTTTGGGGGGTTTTGTTCTGTTCTTTCATTTGGGCCATATTTCTTTGTCTCCTCAGTTTGGCAGCCTCCCTGTGTTTGTTTCTGTGTATCAGGCACAGGTGCTTTGACTTCGTCTTAGTAGTGTGACCTACTGTAGAAAAGGCCCCTGTAAATTGTGTTGGGAGGAGCCTTAGGTAATCACCATGGTGTGGCAACCTGGTTCACTGCTTTGTGGCTCTATGTGTGTGAGGGGTACTTAGAGAGGGGACAATGCCACTACCTGGCTTCTGGAGGTTTTCCAGGAGCTTGCACCATTTCTAGTCACTTCACCCACTTCCTGTATGTGACTAGCACCCTTCCAGCTGTTGCCCTTGTGCTGAATCTCAGACTGGGTAAGTTTGCTTATGTTCCAAGTCTGTGTGGATCCTTTAAATGGAGTCTCTGAATGTCCTGCAGTTTATTCTTCCACTCCAACCCCCACTGATTTTACAGCTAGAAGCTACAGGAATCTATCTTCCTGGCACTGGAACCCTGGGCTCTCTGGTCTGGCCTGGGCCTGGGGTCACTCAGTCCCAAGGTAAGCCTCCTGATTTTTATCCACTGTATGTTAATGTAGAACCATCTGTTCCACTGCTGCTGTTCTGCTTCTCTGCCCCTCCTACCCATCTGGATGAATCTGGCTTCTTTAAATCCTCAGTTGTTGGACTTCTATACAGCTCCATTTTCTGATGGTTCTGGGTGTGATTTGTTTTGAGGTCTAGTTGTCATTCTTTCTGTGGTTGCACGAGGAGGCCAAGCATGTCTGCCTATGCCTCCTTCTTGACTGGAAGTCCCTCTTTTCTTATGTTATAACATGACTTTTGTAAAGTACCTAAGGATGGAAGCTGGTTGCCAGGGGACAGGGAAAGGGGGAGTGGCAGGAGGTTGACAAGATCACTAATGGCCAATAATTCAATTAATCATGCCTTTGCAATAAAGTCTCCATAAAAATCCAAAGGACTGGTTTTAGAGAGCTTCCAGGTTGGCGAACACATGGAGATTCAGGGTGAGTAGCACATTTAGAGAGAGTTTAGAAGCTTTGTATCCCCTTCCCGTGAACATCTTCCATCTGGCTATTCCTGAATTATATCCTTTCATAAATAGATTCTGTGAGTTATAAGAGCTTCTCTCGCATATTAAACCCAAGGAGTGGGTCACCAAAAACTCCAATTCAGACAACCTGGACCTATGATTGACATCTGAAGTATGGAGTGGGGAGTCTTGGACAACTGAGCCCTTACCTTGTGGGATTTGACAGTATCTCCAGGTAGACAGTGTCAGAATTCAGCTGAATTATAGGATACCCACCTCGTATCCAAGAATTGTTTGGATGTATGTGTGGGGAACCCTCACATTAGAATAGAATGCAGAATATTATCAGGTTATTCAAAATCAGTGTCTTATATTCATTTCTAGGTGAACTTTATTTGATGACTTCTTGTTTCTATCAAAGTCCTCTGAGTTAAATTTCTAGTCTTTTTAGTGTAACTAGTACACTATCACTTTAGTGTAAGAAATCCACTAGCACTTAAGAATTGGTGTTTCAAAATGTGATATAACTACACTCTGTTGTTATCACAACAGTGGCACTGAGTTTATTTTATCTTAATATCTATTCTTTCTACCTCTTTATCTATCTATCATCTATCTATCATATACTTTTCATTATAACATCACTAGAGAGTAGACAGGAAAAGAAATGTAATCTTTTATTAGCTGAAATGATTTTGCATAGGATCTGAGGAAACATCTGAATATCTTTTAGCTTTCAAAACTTTAGATGAGAAGTCACATAAGACTTTTTAAAGAAGATTTTATTTATTTATTTTTAGAGAGAGGGGAAGGGAGGGAGAAAGAGAGGGATAGATATATCAATATGCGGTTGTCTCTCATGCACCCCCTGCTGGGGACGTGGCTTGCAACACATGTGCCCTGACTGGTAACCCTTGGGTTCACAGGCCAGGCCCTATCAATCCACTGAACCATACCAGCCAGGGTGCACATAAAACTTTATTGAAGTATTTTTGTACCTTATTTTTCCAACAAATACTTATTAAACACCTACTAGAAGTTCAAGGCATTCTGCACCAGAAAAATGGTCTGAGAGTAAAAGAAAAGTGATTCTAGCATAGTATAATGCTTGCTTTCATTATTACAGACTTGTTGGAGAAAGGGCGATAAGGAAGCCAGACTTTTAGAACAAAACAATCAACAAAACCAAGAAAGAAATGGATTATGTTGAGCTTTACCTGCATGCTTGTTGCGTCTGTGGCTGATTCGTGGTGTGGAGGAGCCATTTCCCCGTGGCAAAAAAAGGGCAGCACCTTTGACAGTCAGAAAGCTCTCACTGATGCTACAAATAAAAAGGTCAAAAGAAAATAAATTATTTAAGAAAGGAAATTCAGGACTAAGTATGGAGACTCACTTGGGGATTATTCTCTCTTACTTCTTCCAAAGTCCCAAATTCATGTGATGAAGTAAAAATAAAGTCAAAAGAGACTGTGATTACTTACACAGTCCTGTTTACTCTAGACATTTTTATGAAACAAAACTTAATATATCCTACATGCATTACATGGTAGAAGTTAAGAGTGAAGATTCTGGAAATAAAAATAGGGTAAAGGTTCTGGAACCAGACTGCCAGGGTTTGAATCCTGGCTCTGCTACTTCTTGCCTGAGTGAAATTATTTTGGCCTAAATTCCCTTATGCATAAAACAGGAATAATAAAATGAGGTTGTTGTGAGGATTCAATAAGAATATAGCTTCTCAGAATGGTGCCTTTAGTAAATATTAGTTACTTTTTAGATTTATGATCACACCAATATTAGTTATTATTAATATGTCAGATGTGAATATGTTACAATACTTAGTTACTAAAAACAGATCCAAATTTTGTCAAAAAACTATGTTTAAAATACACACCACACTACAGTATTACTCAAAATTTTACTTTCACCAATTTGTAATCCCAACTGCACTGAAAAGTAGTGCACCGGAAGTGTATTTAACCCATAGAGTTTGCCCTCTGTGTTAACTTCGTCCTTCATATGAATGACAGCTCAACAGAAGTGGAGAATTTTTCCACTCCTCAGGATAGAGGCTGTTCAAAATACAATTGCTAGTGGATATCCACAGCAAACAGAAAACATATCTAAATTATTTCATATTAAGAGACCAAGCCTTTCAATGTTACCCACAGAATCTGAAAAGGGATTGAACTTTGAAATTAGTAACAGCAAAGTTTTGAAACACATAATGGAGGGTGTTCCAAGTTTGCTGTTAAGTATGTATGCTATTCAGGGTTAGCTAATGTACTGCAAATTATACTGCCTACTCAACCTTTCCACTAGGAAAACTAAATGGCATCTCAAACTTACATTGCCAAGCTAATCTGAGTCCCCTATGAACCTGATCCCTACCCTCATCCATTTAAGTTGTTTGGATCAAATTTGTATGCCATCGTTGGTTTCTCTCTTATCCTACAACAATATATATGTAATCCATCCAGAAAAACCTATGAGCATTACTTTTAATTAAATGTTGAATCTGCCTACTTCACTCCATTACCACTCTTACAATGAATGGTCCATGGCACCATCATTTTTTACTCTGACCACTGCAAAAAAGATTTTTTAAAAGCTTTATTACAGAAAATGTCATCCCTATGCAAAAGTAGATGGAATAATGTAACAAACCCCTGTTCTTATACATTTCAGCTTTAATTCATGGCCTACCCTGTTTCTTTTATATTCTTCTCCTTATCCCTGAAATGAATCTAATCCCAGATATTATATCAACACGAAGCCTCTTAACTGGTCTGGCTGCAACCACTTCTGCACTGCTACTACCACTTAGCAAAGAGCAACCAGAATGACTTAAAATATATAGATCAGTATGTATATTTACATATTTTAAATTTACACAAGTATATCGTATAATATTACTTCCCTGCTTAAAACCCTCCAATGACTTCCCTTTGTACATAAATGAAAGCTGAAGTCTTTAGCTTGGACTACAAGGCCCTGTAACATCCTACTCTGATCTTGTTCCATCTCCCCTTTTGTTTACACAATGCCTTCTGTTTTTTCTGCATTACAGGACCCTTCGTAGGGCCTTTGTGCTTTTTGTTTTCTACTTGGGACATGTTTTTCCCGGCCTGTCACAAAGTCATAGCTCCAGTATCATCTTCGTCCCCCTCCACCCCAATCATACTCTAGCCTGTTCTGTTTTGTTTCCTCCAGGATATTTATCATACACTGAAATTATATTTTTTCACTTGTATACTTGATTGATGTTATCTCCCTATAATAGAATATAAGATCCATGAAGAGCAAGAATTTTAGTTTGGTCAGCACTGTATCCATCCTCAACCCTGGAAACAGGTGCTCATTAGATATTTGATGGGTGAATTCATTCATCCCATGGTTTCTTGCACACTTTTACATCTGTCCCATCTGCAGCAGGAATTGTAACTTAAAACAATAGAAATTCTGTAATCTCACATGTAAAAAATAACTGCTACACAACTCAATATATATGGCAGATTAATGGACTATAAAATACAAGTGTTTGATAATAAATTAATTGGCAAATAAAATTCAATCACCTCTACATAAAGTAGTCAGTTGTTTCCTCAATTTTATCCTTTAATCAAGTGGCATGAAGGTGATAAACCTTTGACGTGACTTGCCAAATACATCGGAACATGTCTTCTAAAAACAATCATGAATCCACAGCCACCACTTTAAAATCTGCATGGCGGCTGGGAGGGGCTGCCTTTGTTTTGTTTTGTTTTCATCTTTAAATAAAGCATTGCGCTCTTGTGGTCTGTTGCACAAGTCTTGTCTCTTGTTACATCCGTGGTATGCACATGTCACCCTGCTGTGGGTCACTCTGTTTCACTCATGTTACGGGAACAACCTAAAACAAAATGTCTGAGTGACAGGATGAGTGGGGTACACCACAGACAGGAAATGAAATTCACACTTCTGCCAACACAGCAACTACCTGCTTTACTAAATGAAGATATTTAAAAAATAAAGATTAAATAGTCTACATATCTTCAGGCAAAGTTACAGCTGTGGGAAACTTTGGTTCCCCGTAAACAAAGCAGTCTCTACATCTACAAAAATAGATTTGTTGTGAGCTTAAAACGACCAAGCACACTTCAGTCTTTGTTTTGTGAGACAGAGGTAGTTTCTTTTTGACACACACTAGTTTAAGAACTAACTTCCTGGTTTGGGGAGTTCTGTAATACTGTTCTTAGATACATTCATTGCTTTGTTTTAAAGCATATCTAAGTGTATTCTTTAAAATGTATGTAGGGCTTTCACAAGGGGATGGTTGGGTGGAGGGACAAAGGTCTTGCTTTTAACTCAAAGCTACCTGGAAAATTTCTGATTATGAAAGAAAGATCAGAAATCAAACTCACGTATGGTATAAGGGAAAAGATGCCTTTCTATTTACACAAATCTCAGTAAACTTCTGATAGAACAAAGTGCACAGCAGATCCAGCTAGGTGCAGGTACGGGCTCCCAGGGTCATGGCAGACATATTCCAGATGGTACAACCAAATCTTCTTCATTTTGTGGCCCTAGGTTATGACTCCTCAGGTATCACAAAAGTGGCACACGTTGTTCACAAGAAAAGAAAGTGTGGCTGGTTACAAAAATCCCCTATCATCATGGGAAAAAAGTTAAAGCTCTACACATAGATGCAATGGCAGCACAGTACCATGGAAATAAAAAAATAAATTTTGCAACTACCAGAGTTTAGGTGAATCAAATTCAACTTTCAAATTAAATGCTTTATTTGCATATGAAGAAAACTATATGCAAATTTAATCACATGTACTTCAATGTAAGGTAAAAGCTTAGTGTATCTTGCTAGAATAGCAAGAGATTAATTTATGTAAATATTAGTCTTTCTGAAATAGTTGCCTGGAAGTTCAACAGACATATAGAGTTGGTCTCTAATTAAAAATTTAGAAAAGCAGGTAAAAAGTTTTGCACCTCTCCTTTCTTCCTGTTTTTTAAAACAACAGTTTTTTTTAAGACTTTATTTATTCTTATAGAGGGGAAGGGAGGAAGAAAGAAAGTGAGAGAAACATTAATGTGTGGTTGCCTCTCATGCATCCCCTACTGGGGACCTGGCCTGCAGCCCAGGCATGTGCCTTCCCTGGGAATCAAACTGGTGACCTTCTGGTTCTCAGGCTGGCACTCAATCCTTTGAGCCTCACCAGCCAGGGTTACACCTTTTCTTAATTGACCAGTTCTCTAGAGTCTGGCCCAGAAAAAGGAGTTCTCTTGTAATTCTATGAAGCCATCCATATGTGATTACAGATGTCTTAAGATAAACACAAACGGAAAAGGACTTAAAACCTCTATTTTAAGGAAAACACAAGATAAAATGAACACCACTACTCTCTCATCCTAAAGGCTTGATAAGATAATGACACAGGATCATAATTCCTCTTCTTTATCAGAATACAATTGAAGACTATCTATTCCATTCTTGCCATAAGATCACTTGCTCATCAGGAGACTCATCCGTAGGTAGAAATATGAAATGAGTTAATTAACAGCTAACTTAATGAGATGCCTACTCTATGCTAGACACTGAACTAAGCACTTTATAATATTTCATTTAATCTTCACAACAGTCCTATGAAGCAGGTACTATTTTTTTACCCCCAACTTACATATAAGGGATCGAGGGGCTCAGAGATCATAAGTTATTTGCCTAAGATCATACAGCTAGTAATCCTTAGTGAGAATTCAAACCAAGATCTGATTGGAAAGTTCATGCTCTTAATCACTCTCTACTATGCTGTCTAGTTTCATGACATAGTTTTATAGAAGATGAAATACAATGTCTCCCTACAGAACTTTTCAACAGAACTTAAAAGTACAGTACAGGAATAAGAAATCTGAAATCCATCCTGACCGCAATTCTCTTCGATTCTTTTTCAGTTCCCTCTAAGAGGACCATGAACAGAAAGACTATATTGCAGGGAATGAAGAACACTGGGATGAATCCGGATGGGCTAGACAGTAGAGAAAAGAACTGTAAATTCTTTGGGGAATGATAGTAGCAATTTCATCTAGAAAATGGAGGATAGAGCACTCTACTTTAAATAAATACAGGGAAGTAAGTACTCTGTGCCAATCACTCTCAATCAGAATCACTTCCTAAAAGCATGAAATGTGTTAACTGGAAGTTTCTTCTCAGGCAAACAGTAGAGGAAAAGGTCAATTAAGGGAAGAAAATTAATTAACTATTCTGAGGTTGGAATAATCTTTGAGGAATGTGGCCAGAGTGATCACCCATGACTAGCAGGCAGGCCGAGGAAA